CATCCACTTGGGACTCTGCAAGAAGTATGGTCTGAAAGCATTCCCACGCATGCGAAGTCATTCTGTTCAGGAGGTCGTCGCAAATGAGAACCTTGAAATCAATAAGAACAGCTAAAAGATAAGTAGGAATCGACCGATATCATGATCCACGATAAGAAACGACCTGATACAGGTTGGCATCACTGATCAGGACAGGTTGACAGCAGTCGAGACTGAGAAAAAGCGAAAACATGATCTACTTGCTAATAAGCTTGGGTCAGAGATAAAATCCTGGACCAAAATAATTCCGTATTTGATGACCTGGGATGAGAATGTAACGAACTTCCACAAGCGCTACGCGAAGAAGATCAATATATCTGATAACGTCGAAGCATACCTACAATCGATAGTTCTTCAAAAGACGCTCGAAAACATCCTTCGATACTCGTTATGGATTTTAGGAAGATGAAGCTAAAAACGATGAGCACATAAAATCTGAGCGCGGGACAAGTACAGCCAGACTGTTGGAATGCGATCGAACGCCAGAATCAATAAAGCGAAATCAAAAATTAACCTCCACATTTCTTTCTATATATATTAAATGTAGTAAACTGCTGGACATGATTTTACATATATACATGTATATTTGAGTATAAAAATGTTGCACGTGGATTCTTTAAAACATTTTTATAGCATTCAAGTTCAGCGAAAAATTTGCTCGATATGTGCCATCAATGTATGAAGAGCAAGTGAAGTCGCTAAATCACATTTCCACTCATTCTCAAGCTGTAAATCACTCGCTTGTCCAAGCTCTAACGTATTTCTTTTTTTTTTTTTGTAGAGCTAGCAATTTATATTAATTAGAATTTCATTTGTTTTTAAGACTGTATGCACATAAGACCAAATATTTGCAGGATTTATGCTCTTTTTCACTTTTATCTTTAAATTTCATCAATAACTGAACTTTGTTCTGCTGTTAATCCCTATTTTTTCAAGAAAAAATCAATTTGTTGTTCGGCTGTCCAAATTAGCTATTAAGCAGTTGGAACCATTTCTTACTCGAAATGGCACTATTCGGAATCTGATACGAGACCATTTACAAATTGAAGGTGATTTTTTTCTTCCATTATTCAGTACTTAAGTGCTAGTAAATCTTAGAACTATCGAGAATTGGGTGGCAGTAAATTCATATATGGAGGTTATAATGTTCGGATATGGAGAATATAATGTTGCGCATATAGGAAATTTTTACTGTGAATCATTACAGATATTTCTAAATACTAACAGTTTTGTTTTTAATTGTTGAAAACTGAACTTTTATTATATTTGAAATGAGTAGATATGATTTTTGTGTAATTTGATAGTGCTGAGCGCAATATAGTATTTTATGCAAATTATCCCTTTAAATTTTAAGTAAAAGAATTAAGAGTCCAAATGAAGATCACTGTTTAAATTCTTTTAGCAGCGGATAATACTCAGTCAAAACTTGCGATGGAAGCAAGCATGGGTGGCATTCTCGGACAAATCAGCAAGCAAGGTGCTATCGTTATTAATCGCTGTTTCAGAACTTAGAATATTGATGTGGCCAGGCGTTTACCATAATATTAAAAGTGTTTACTAAAATTGAGTGTTTTTAATCTCTCGATAACTTGTGATAAAATGTATGTTTATAAAATGGTACATCTGTTGTTTTGTTGATCAGTTCTGTTGGTTGCGTAAGTCATTAAGAGTTTTTGTTTTATAGGTGTGTACTAGAAATTTATCAATTCACTGTCAGTTTCACTTGTTATTTTTTGATTAATTTATCAACAAGAGTTATTTTATCATTGGACTAATTTATAGAAAGACGACACAAGATGTTTTATGGCACAATCAAAGAGGATTTTTCGACACAGCTAGGTTTTGAAAAGAAACGATCGAAAATGAAGGAAAGAAGCGATAAAAAAAAGGATACAAACGGTCCTACACCTGATCGTATACCTTTGCCAGCAGCGTTGGTCTATATCTTTTTGTAGTATTGTCATCATATTTTCTAAGATAACTTTTGCATTAAAGTCATACTTCGATATTTGTATCATTTTTTAAATTACAGCAATGAAAAAAGACACATAAAAGAATCTGGTAAAAAACTGCGAATATCTGCTGATAATCCACCATCCGTATGTCTTTACACCGTTCTTAACTCACCTGGTGGCCTTACAGCATCAGATGTTTCAGAAGATAGTGAAGCGCTTGCACTAGGCTTTGGGAATTCTATGATTCAGGTCAATACTAGCTTTATGCTTTTAATAATTTGAGGAAGGAAAGACAACTTTGTTATATAAAAGTATGAACGCTTTATTCATCTCTTCCAGTTCTCAGTACTTCTACTTTCATAATTTATTTTCAAGCATAACTGATGCTAGCAGTGCAATTTGTTTATTTTCAACTATTTATTGCTAGCATCAGTTCTGGCACGAGAAAAAACACCTTTCACATTAAATTTTCAAAAAAAATAGTGCAATTTTTGAATGATGTAATAGATTATTTCCAAAATCTAGTTTTCTTAAATAATATTTAGTCCGTAGCATATGCGACCTTCAATTCAAGGTTAGTGCTCTTAATGAAGAAAATTTTCGAACATATAAGAGGATCGACCAGCTAGAGCTCATAGAACAAGATGCTGAGGATGCTCTTGATCAAATTTATGACGATGCTGAATCTTCATCTTCGCTGAAATTTCACGTACGTTATAACTATTCATAACTTTTTCATTCTCTATGAGATAGTAGATTCATGTTTTCTATTATCATATCATTTTGCTTATGACTTTTTTTCTCGTACGAACGATTTTGATGAGATTCGACATTGTTCATTATGGTGCTAACAAAATATGAAGAATTTTTGTTAACTTGAACCAAATTTGCTTTCAGGGCCATAATGGACCAGTTTACTCTCTATCATTTTCTCCAGATAAACGACTCTTACTTTCGTCCTCACGGGATGGAACCATCCGTCTATGGAGTCTTGCCATGCGCAGCAACGTAGTGGTATATAAACATGCTGCACCAATATGGCAAGTTCGTATATCAGACATCAAAAATTTTAATTTCATGCACTTAAAAAACTTATTATTTAGATTATTAGGTAGTTTTAACAGCACTTTAATCTTTTATGTTACAGGTACAATTTTGTCCTCGTTCATATTACTTCGTAACTGGTAGTGCTGATGGTGCTGCGATGCTGTGGGCTACTGATCGTTTGCAGCCTTTGCGCATATTCTCGGATGCGTTTTCAGACATTTCGTGCATAGACTTTCATCCAAATTGCAATTATTTTGCTGGTGGAAGTGATGATCGTTACGTACGTGTTTGGGATGTACTGTCAGGTACATGTGTACGATCCTTCGCAGGTCATAAAGGATCTATTCGTGGATTAAAGGTATGTGTAAGGCATATTTCTGGAACCCAAAGATTAAACGAGTAGAAAATAGTCTTTTTTCTTCTACGGTTATGAACCAAAAAGTGCAAGTATATGTTTTTTATCTAATAATGTTTTTATCTAATAATCCAACACTTTCGGAATTTATTTCGGTTTTGGTTGTTTTCTCAAGATTTTGATGAAAGAACTCATTCGGCAGGTTTATAAGAGACCACCAGCTGCATTATCTGTTGAAGATGTCATTATATAGTGCATACTGTAATTTGAGCTACCTTTATTTAGGTAGTTATTGGATTTTTTAGTTTCTGATAAGTACTTACGGGTTGAAACGTGTCATCCAAAACATTGAGTTCAGATTTCTCCTTGTGGTCGATACTTGGCATCATTAGGAAGTGAAGGATCGTTAATATTATGGGATATGGCTTTGCAAAAAATGATGTGTATGCAAGATGTCACAGCATTCCCGTACCAAACGGCAGTCGAATTCTCACGTGATGGAACAGCTTTGGCAGTTGCTCGGGCTGATTCAGCTATGTCATTTTATGCTGTTGATGCAGTTACGGCCCATTCTGGTTCACAAGACCATCTAAACAGTGATCCCAAGTATGTTACCTTTTCTCGTAAGTTATCAAAGAAACATTCACATAAGAACCTCCTCTCACATCCTAGTTTTATATATCCTACCGGAATCTCCATAATGCTAAAGCATGTCCTGACTGCTGTTCTCTTTTTTCACTACTTTATTTCAGAATAAACCCTAGCGGTTTTCATCTGTACACATATCCTACGAAAAACACACCCATTGTAAACGTGCATTTCACGCGACGCAATTTGGTTTTGGCCGTAGGAGCTTTTGGACAATAAAAAATTAGTCATTTGCAAAAGCATGGTAATAAAGAATTAAATACGCGAGTTAGCCACTTATATAATGGAGTGCACCTTAGTAATACTTCAATATATAATACTGACTCATGTCTATGTACTGCTTATGTATTATTACCTGAGTATTTAGAGTTGCTGCTCACAAACAAGATCAAAGCACTGAGATGTAATTTGGGAACAGTTGTATTATTGTGAATGTTGTTGAACTTTTGTGAGTATGATGACAGGTTTCCAATATTTAGAATCCGTAGTACATTGTAACAACGAATTAAGAACAACATGAACACAAGAAACTGGGAATATTGAAAACTAATAAAAATAGGTCGAATATTCAGAATAACAAATTTTAACAATACAGTATGAAAGGTATAAATTCAAGAACAAGAGCAAGGTAAATAATTCACTATAAATACACAGATTAATAAAAAATATAATACATTGAAAATTAGGAGATACATACAAGCATTCGCATCGACTGCGGACATACGACAATTACAATGAGCAGGATCGAACAAAAAAATTTAGTTACCTAGACGATATTTTAACTTTGCACATTCAAAGTTAAGAGTGGGGGTTTTGGTACTCGTTGTTAAGAAATGATCTTTTACACTCCATAATGAGATAAATTGTAGAATTTTCTCTGCTCAGTTGTATAAATATATCTATACAAAATACAAATCAAATTGTTTCATTTCTCATTCTTCTTCTGTTGGTAACCATAAATTCTGAAAATGATAGCGAATTAGTCGCACATTACTTGTAGCAAAGATTAGAATTACTATGCCTATTCACGCTCTAACGACAAAACTTACTAGAGTTGTGCAAGCTGTAGCCAGCATAAAAAACCTTGGGTTGAAGAGTATTTTATGCATGAGAGGAGAATGCCCCGAAGGTAGTTTTGCGATCTTTTGCCCAGTTAAAGTTGACCAAACAACAATACTACTATCCGTAGAGCCGCAAAACACGTACTGAGCATCAGCACAAAATGTTGCATCCAGTTCTATTCCCTTACTGTTTTCATGGCCTTAAAAAACGCACATAAAATTGTAAGTCAATTTTATTTGCAACTATGATGATACAGATTAATACTTTGCAGGAAATATTCTCGCTACATCAACAAACAAATTTTATTCAAAATGCAGTTAACGCCTTTATGATGGACTTTTTTTAATACATATTACTGGGTTTAAAAGTGAAAAACAAAAAAAAAAACCTCGCAAAACATGTACTAATGTTCCTTTGAAAGAGTCAAGAAGTGTTATTGAAGATCCGTTTGTTGTGACCATTATCATTTTGCCATCAGGAGAGAACTTCAAACCTGTCCAATCCTCCTTTGCATCATTTTCAATTTTGAAAGTAGTGAATGGACCCTAAACAAACGAAATTATTTCACATAAATTTATGCCAAACATTTGTAACAAATATGTTTTTGGTAACTCATCAGAAGGTTGCAGAAATACGACAAACTATTATAATACGATAAGATTCCATTTGCGGAAAAAAGCAGCTGTTCGATACATTTCCTGCAAGAAATGATGTCTTGTGAATGAGAAAATGCTTGGCACAAACTTTATCAAATGATCGTAAATCATACAATTTGATTGTATCTGAATTTATCCCTGCTGCAAATATCAAACCTTCCGGATCAAATGAAGCAACAGGCCTTGATGGTACATGCATCAAACCCTGCAACAATTCAAAAATAATATAAACGTTTCCAAACTTGCTTTTTATGCTATTCAGTAACAATATCTTTAAATAAAACGAAGCATGATTAAAGAAAAATAGTCTATTTTTTAAAACGAATGTACACCTGACAGCTCTGCATCCGCAAATCCCACAAACGAATAGTTTTATCCAATGATCCAGAAAGAAACATATCATCTAGAGGAGACATACAAAGAACCACTACTCTGTAAGAAAAACAAATTTTTGTTACTGAGAAAATTCACTGCAGTTTTCATGACTGGAATAGAACTTACTTTTTTTGATGACCTGGAAAGTACCTGATGTACTTGTTATCATGCAGCGATAAATACCGAATAACATCTAAAAATATTATAAAAACTATAACATCACTTCTTCACCTTAAAATATCTACTTCAAGTGAAAAAAATTGAAAAAAATAAAAATATATTCCTAACGGGTCTACATATGCCTTTAATTTTATTACCAGTACTGCTCTTTCTAAGAATCAATTTTTGTTGAAGTGACAGTATTTGACAAATCAAATTAGGACTTTGTAGAATAAGCAATCCGTAATGATAAATTTTATAATAACCATCAACTTTCGTAGAACAATGTATAGCGTTCGACGTGTTGTGCGCGAACTGTATTAAATCCACCCCATACTTTTTGCTGTTTACCTGAATTTCATGATGTTTTGTCTGGAATAACAATAAAATATTGTGAAAAATAATTTTGAGTAAGCTTAAATGCTTAAAAGTGCTTTGCATTTAAGAGCACAGTAATGCTCCAAAATCCCTTGATGAAAAATTTTAATTAACAAATATTATTCCGCAATGATTTTATATATTTTTATACGATAATTTAATAAAGTGCAAATACCGATCGACTTTTCAGTCCAGTAACACAGTCATACATAATGATGGAGTCATCATCAGAGGATGAGATCATCTGCAAACCATCTGTACTAAAATCCAAACTGTTGATAAGGGCCTATAATAGAATGAGTGGAATTACTATTTGAAGAAAGTGAGAAATAATCACAAACAATCAATATTGATACCAAAAGCATACCTGGTTCTCATTGAAACTTTTTGCAGGCCTTAAACTTGATATCGTCCTGTCATTGGCCTTCATTAATCTGTACAACAACTTGAATCGATTTAATTACAATTTTCAAAAAATTTATTACCTTTTTTCTACACAACTATTATCAGTGTTTCGTGCAATCTTATTATCCAATTCAAAGTGATAAAACGTGAACAGCAGCGTCACATAATTGTAAATTATTCCGAATGAGAATCAAATAGTTTTCATACATTTTTTACTTAAGAGATAAAATCAAACTCATCTAATCGAAGCAATCGTGTCACGGAATACAATACAGTTGTGTAGAAAATGTTAATTACATCAAACTTTCTTTATTCAGATAAAATACTATTAACAACCAAGGAAATGCTTTTACTATAAACTTCACAGTATCCCTTTTCTGCTTCTTAATGCTGCTTTCATCTTATAAGCAAAATGATCACAAAAGTTGGAACTCCTAGTATCAGATAGATACAAGTTCGAACCTTATTTCATCAATTCACGGTCTCCAATAGGAGGTATAACGATGGATATTAATAAGGCACTATGAAAAAGTTTGTCTTCCACTGAATTTTCTACGTTAAACATGTCGATTTGAACGGTTCATGCTGAGAAGTCATTAATTGAGCATCGCCAGTTGTTGGCTTTGATACTTTCATGTATGTGACCCTCACAAGACCAGAAAACATGTAAGTAATCAAGTAATTGCCATCGGTTAAGAGCAATCAGTAGATGATTGTTGCGCTTCATTGATTTCGTAGCATTTTTTATCACTCCATTTTGTTTGATGTTTTCAGAATTCATTTTTTTTGTACTACTTTTCTGAGACAAATTCTTTGACTGTATATCTTTAGCTTAACTGCAAGAATCTCCCCTTTATAATAGCATGTGTTTGTCTGTGTGAATAATGTTGCTTAGTAATTAGTGTTTCTACTACGGTTTGAATTTTTAACCACAATTCTCGTAACAGCCTTCTGAGTGACAACATTATCACTTGGCTTCATTCTCATTGGCTGGCTGACGAAAGTCATTACTCGGGAGTCAAGTGCAAGCAGTAGGACAATTTTTACAGGAGGAATGGGTTCCAAATTCTTCGTAATGAAAGAAGTTGATAAATTCTTTTTTATTCTCTACAGTTCTTTTTTTATTTCGCTGAAATGTATGACTCTTTTTCAGTTCGGTGATTTGAAGAAAAACATGGCTTTTACAATTGAAGTGGGTCACGCAGATTAAATACCGAAGTAGCGAAAATAAATACGCAAGAATGGGAAGTTTTGTGGAAGGACTGACAAGCCCTGAGATGGAAATCGCTGGAAGTGGCGCTATTGTTGATAACAAAACGTTAGTAGTGTTGCTTTGAATGTGAAGTGTGAGACTGTTGAGCATCTTTGTACTTTTTATCGAAAGAAAATAGTGAAAATGGCAATCGAATTTATTTTTCTTATTTCAGACGTTTTTCTGACCTAAAAGTGATGCTGGACGGCTCAAAAGACAACCTGAAAATGGATGCAATGAAAAGAATAATAAATGTCAGACTTATAAAATAAAAAATAAAGCAGAAGTTCTTTCATATGTTTGAAAAATTGACATGTTAAAACCCTTTTTAATTTGCATCTAATAAGAATTTTCTTTGCGAAAATTCCGCGCACATTGTTTCTTATTGAGGAATAAACTTATATTTCATGACTTTTCATAAAAATCAACCCAATATTAATTAAATTATAGTTGTAACTTAATTTTAGCAGAAGTTTTAATTTCCTGCTTTATTTTGCCAAATTATTCAATTGGAAATTTTAAACCTTCATATAATTCAGTTAGTTGCAAAAGGTCGTGATGTCTCAGAGCTTTTTCCTGCAGTTGTCAAGAATGTGGCAGCGAAAAATCTTGAGGTTTGTAGAAAATACTCCAGCTTTTTGGTCATATCTGCTTGTGAAATTATCTTGTAAAATAGAATATAGTTATGATATTTAATTCAGCAACAGATATTCGTTACCAACTTTAAAGTCCTTTTCAGCTTTAATGTATGAAATTAGAGACAATGTATTCTATTTAAACTCACCAAAGTTTTTGAACTTACAGCTTAAAAAATTGGTCTTCGTTTACTTGGTGAGGTATGCTGAAGAGCAGCAAGATTTGGCACTTCTTTCAATCAGCACATTTCAACGTGCGTTGAAAGTAAGTAATTTGTGCTTTTATTGTTAGACTTTGACAAGCACTGTCTTAATTCGAACTTTTTTCAGGATTGTTTCATAGTTTTGAAATACTTTGAAATAAAAACTGCATCAGACATCTCAATCTTTCTTGATATAGCCAACTTTTTGATTGTTATAGGATCCAAATCAGTTGATTAGAGCTAGCGCTCTTCGTGTTCTTTCCAGTATACGAGTACCAATGATTGCACCAATAATGTTATTAGCAATACGTGAATCTGTCCGCGATATGTCTGCTTATGTTAGAAAAGTTAGTAATTTATTTATTCTACTTTTTAATATGATATTTATTCTAAAGAGTTTTACTTCCTTCAGGTTTATTGTGCACTTTTTTTGACGCAAAGTTTTTTAGGTAGCTGCGCATGCAATACCAAAATTATATTGTTTAGAGGAAAGTTTACAAACAGAACTGATTGAATGCATTGATTATCTGCTTGGTGATAAGCGCACTCTTGTACTTGGTAGTGCAGTGTATGCATTTGAAGAGACATGTCCAGATCGTTTTGATTTGCTTCATAGGCATTTTCGGACATTGTGTAAGGTAGTATTTCAATTTTTTTCGTCTATATTTGATTTTTTCGGCAGGTAAGTTTGATTCAGTTTTATAATGTTAAAAAAATACCATACAAATTCACACGTTCTTCAAAATTGCTTTACTTTTGGATCTCTTTTGCTATTCCTTTCTAGGAAAGACAACAGATGGATATAATTTCATTTGCACATACAAATAGTTTCATTGAAATGATATGAATTTAGGCTATCGCAGATGTAGATGAATGGGGACAGGTAGTGATGATTGGATTGTTGACTCGTTATTCTAGGAGTCAGTTTGTTGCTCCACTGGAAGTAGTTGATCCTGATCTTGCATTGCTTCTCACGTCTTGTCGTCCATTGTTGCAAAGTCGAAATTGTGCCGTAGTTATGTCTGTTGCCCAGCTATTTTATCACTGTGCACCGCTCTCTCAAATGTCTATAATTTCACGTGCGCTTATCCGTCTTTTACGTGGACCACGTGAAGTGCAAAACGTTGTGCTTGTCAATATTGCGACTATTTGCTCAACCAAACCGGTATGTAATTATTTTTTTTTGCCAAACCAGTATATACGATTGGTTCAGTAATTTAGTAGTTATTAGGACAAGTATGAGCACCAATCAGCTTATAGTCTCCTGAATCTCTGAAGATGTTGCAGCAATTATGTTGTCTGCTTTTAAGAAGTTTTTTGTTCGTGTTGTTGAAGCTACAAAACGGTTGTTGGCGTAGCAGACTTTGAAACGTTTTTCGAAAATTTATTCAGCATCTTTTATAACAATGTAGATATAATAACAAATATCTAATTAAAATAGAAAAACTAGCTAAGCTGCTGAAGGTTAATAATTCTCTCAAAGCCAATATTTTAGCATGTTAGTTGTAAAGGAGAGATTTTTTAAATCTAAAATTCCCTCTTCCGTCTTTTCCATGTGTAATTTTTTACAGAATATGTTTGAACCATTTTTGAGAAGTTTTTTCATACGTCCGGCTGATCCAAAACATATCAAGCTGTTGAAGTTGCAAATATTGATCTTGCTGGTTTCGGAAACAAATGTGCAGTTAGTTCTTCGTGAATTACAGGTGGGATGAAGTTCTGGTTGATGACTTCGAAGTTAGTAATTTGTTCATTGCCTAGTTACGAAATTAATGTGAAAGTCATGTTAAGTTGATATTTTCTGACATTTGAAGACATATGTTGGCATGACAGAAATGGCTGATGCTGCAATAGAAGCGATAGGGCAGTGTGCTGCACGTGTCAGCTCTATTACTGATTCATGTATTTCCGGATTGGTGTCGCTAATTACTTCTTCGGATGAAACTGTTGTCTCAGCGTCTGTTGTAGTTTTAAAAAGGTTGTTCGTTGACTTTAGTCATTGTTATTTTCTTCATAAGCTAAAAAATTGTTTAAAAAAAAACCCTAAGGCTGGTATATATAATGATGCTGATAGAAACTCTTTTTTCCACCATCTACTTATTATTTGAGCAAAATAATTTATAAGTTAAAAATTTATTTTTGACTGATAGAATAAGGCTAAATAGTCTCTAAAACTTATATTATAGAGCCAGAATTTTGTTGAATAATAAATCATTTTTTTCTTGATTTGGATCATCATCTCTCATAGATTATTGCATGCAAATCCACCTCTAAAATTACTCAAACGTGTACTTCGTCTTATTGATTCTGTGAAAGCTGCAGAAGCTCGAGCTTGTGTGATCTGGCTTGTGGCTACTCATGTTGATAAAGTAAGTGATGAGCAGTAAATTGTAGTGAAATATTCTTATATTTCCTGGAAATGCTAACTTTTAAAGAAAATATTTTTCATGCAATTTATGAGATAATTCAGTCATTTTGATTGATCTATATTGTTATTATCACACGAATTCAATTTCATTGGTTATAGTGAAGTTTCAGAGTTAATTCTGATATCTGAAAATTGAGAAAAACGTTAGAAAAGTTTATTTCAAAAATTGTATATTATATTGTCAGGTTATGAAGAAAGGATTGCAAACAAATTACCGTATCATTGCAGGTCTCAACTGTTGCACCAGATGTTCTGCGTAAAATGGCAAAAAGTTTTACGCATGAAAGCGAAGTAGTGAAGTTGCAAACAATAAATTTAGCTGCGAAATTATGGCTATTAAATCGCCAAGAATGTGAACTACTGGTACGATACGTTATGCAGTTGGCTCGGTTCGATCAAAGCTACGATATTCGAGATAGATCCAGATTTTTGCGAAATCTGTTATTTAGTGACAACAAGTTGTCTTGTTTTGCAAATGAGATATTCAATGCTGAGAAACCTTCACCAGCTACACAGAGTACTTTTAAAGGTGGAATATTTTTGGTGACTTGATGAAATTGTATTGTTCAATATATTTTAAGATTTATTTTTATTTTTTCATGCAAAACTTATAAGAACAATGGTTATCGCTCATTATATTTTTTCACTAAGGCAGGAAATATCATTTTTGATTTGAATTTGATAAATACTGTTTACTTTTGCTGTTGATGTTTTTCATTTAGCATAACTTCAAATTTTAAACTTACTGTCTACTTCTCAAGATCTAAGAAATACGGGGGAATGCTTTTTATGGCCTTTTTGTAATTGCACTTTAGATGATGACGAGGAACACTTCTCTTTCAGATCGCGAGCAGTTTCAGTTAGGAACTTTGTCACATTTCCTCAATCAGCGTTGCAAGCGATATCGTGATTTACCATCGTTTCCTAATATTGCACCTGATTCTTCTTTGAGAAATACAAAATTGGTAGATGAACTAAATAATGGCGTGAGAATCGGCTATAAGATCGGAAATGAAAGTGAAGGGGATGATTTTTGTCTACTTGAAGAAAGTGAAGAAGGAGATAAAAGTACTGAAGAACAGGAAAGTGAGGATGAGGTATGTGGCCATCTTTTTCCATGAACCGAAAAAAATTACTGTGTCTAGCATTTTGAGTTATTACTAAGACTCTAATAATGTTACAGTAACCTTCAGAGTTTTAAAATTCATCTCGTAGTAACTCATATGGGATTCATAATCCTGAAGTTTGTAGATTGACATGTTTAAATTTGTAGGATGAGGAAGAAAGTGATGAGGAATATGAAGAAGAAAATGAGGATGAAAGTGACGAAGACAAGGAACTATTTCTAGTAAATTCTGAAACGAAAAAGTTAGCTTGTTTACAGCTCACGCCATATCATTCGAAATATTAAGTTGTCATTAAATTCAGTATAAAAAACGTGCATTCCTCTCTTTCTTCAGCTTTGATATATTTCAGGTCAGAAAATCTTCATCTTTTGCTCGATTTAAACTTCGATTCAGCAATAAAAAATGCAACAGACTATGTTGTAGAGCCCAAATTTGTGAATTCTTTTTTCACACCGTTGTTGAGCCATGCTGCTTGGCCTGTGGGAATTAGTATCGATCTATGTTTTCCTCGTGAAACATCACTTTTACATTCATCCATGTGTCCTGTACTATTAAAATTCACAAACAATTTGGAATCCAGTTCACCTAATATCACTGCATTGCCAAAGGCTGGTTAAATTTCACAAACTTCGAGCAAAAGATATATTTAATGCTTCAAGCAACGATTGTTAGTTGGAAAAAACTACTGAAACTTCAAATTTGTTGTCTTAAGATTGGTTTCATGAACCGCTTTATTCATTGCAGAGTTTAATTAGTGGCCGCTGTGAGTAATAATATTTCGTGCTTATTCTTAGATAGATGTTCGATAATATAATCAAGAGGTTTTTTGTATAAATTTGTGCTTAAAAACTTGAGATTTCATTACATGTGAGATTATTTAGGCTATCAATCAGATGTCAACTAGTGGTCAGATTGTCTTGGAGGAACTATCACCAGGTGAAAGTGTAATCAAGAAAATTCACATTGATTTTGGTGATAGTAAAGGAACATCTGAGTGGTTGCTTAGCGCGGAGAACAATCAGGAAATGACAATTAGTATTGAAGCTCCTATGGGTGAACAAATAGAGCCAGTTTTGATCACAGAGGAGCAGTTTATTAATCGGATTTTATGCCTAAGTGGATTGAACGACCACTGTGGGAAGCTTGAAAGGCCTTTAAAACCTGATGAACTTTATGCTGTTGCAAATTGCTCTAGTGTTACAGGTTCTGAGGCAAGTCTTTTACAAAAATCTATGATGTTTAATGTCAAAGGTGTCTGTTTTTTTTTGCCCTGCAAGTCATATTATATCTGCAGTTTCGGTACAGAGAAATAAAATAAGAAGCATTCATAATGATGTAAATAAGTTCCAGAATTCCTCCAAATTTTCGCTTTTCAGGTACATTTCTGTGCACAGACTCTATCCAAAAAGCAACAGGTGCTAATTACCTTGGAACCAGAGCAAGTCCATGTGCATTGCGAAAACATCGTGCTTGGCTCTTTGCTTTGCGACGATATTGTTAAAGCATCTCTGAAATCATGATGGAACTCGGCTTCCCAAATAAAGAACTCTGTATTGCTAATTTCACCCTCTTATCCCTTTTAAATAATTTTTGAAAGCAATTGCGAGAATGCTATCGACTGACTTCGAGGATTTCAGATCTCTACACCTTTGGTGGGATCGTGTCAAGCCTCTTCGACCTTAGTAAGAACTTTCCTCAATTGCGTTCTCCTTATTTATGGTTTACGAACAGGCTTTTCGAAACATTTCCATTTTACTCATTGAAAGTGTTAAAAGACATAAAATATTGATGAGATGTTTATGAATAACCTCTTTTTAACCATACAAAGGCTTTACGTGCAGAAATGTCTTATTATTTCAAGAGCTGTATTTCTCGATATGGACGACGTGGGACATACTATAAGTGTTTTTATTCGTGAGATAAACTTTTCAACTGCTAGTAACTCTCTCGATAAATGGTTTTGAAAAAGAAAGAGTCTATACGTACTGCATAAACTTAATTACTGTAGTCAGAGAAACAATGACAATATGTAAAGCAATGACCCGAACTGCCAATAGGCATCCACATACTTTATGCTGACCAATAAACAATGTATATAAATACAAGTTTAAGATTTGTAGGTTGGAGGCATCTCATCGGTCTTCTTTTTGGGCAAGGGATGCTTAGGAAGCGCATGTATTCTTTTCAATGTATTGATAAGAACATAACGACTAAAAAACATGTAAAGATATCGGAACCATACAAGCTGAGAACGATGTGCGCACATTGCTCGCCATGATGTGATGTATAGAAAAGGCGAAGAAATATATAGAAATGTTGAGTAGAAAGAACTGATCACAACATCCAATATTATCGAGTATTTTCTCCATACTGGTACACTTTCCAGAACGAAAACCTAGAAAGTAAACAAACATACACGACATATTACCTGCAGATTTTAATAACACCCTAAAAGGGATAAAGTGGAATTTTATTATTTATGAGTTGTTAATGCAAGAGATACTGAATATCCAGTTGTCCTTACGGCTCTTTTATTTTTGTTTTTTCTTTATGATGTTTAAGATTTTTCGCTGTTCTCATTTCCCCAATTTATTCAATATAGGTGGTTAATTATACGGATGAAAAGATTTATCATTTAGTGAGTAAACAGCTACATTGCTATGCTAATACAATTAGCATTGCTCAAGATATTTCATCACTTACTGATTAATCAATATTCATAACAAACTTCCGTAAACGAGACAAAGATGTAGATCAAATGAATATTACTTTTCACTCTTTATACACTATTCCTTACTCTTATACGACATTTACCCTCAAAGGTGAAAAAGTGAAAAATAACCTGCACTCCAGCTGGAACCAAACCGTTAGTATAAAGATACTGCAATGCACGAAAGCATCCAATATGGTTGGGATGAGCACTGACACCATTTTCATCAAATGTAATCACCAAATCAATATCCAATACTTGCATATGCCTCAAAATTACCCTAGCTAGCTCTTCTTTAGGCCACTGAACAAATCCATCTTGAAGAGTATCATAATTAAGCACAGTCAAATTGTCAAGAGATAGTCCATGGATAGTAAAAGCGCGAGCTAACTCGTATTTCCTTTTAACACCTAGACCAGCCGAATTACCCATGGAAATACATAATAGATAGACGGTTGAGCCACAGAGCCGTAAGCCATGAAGAGTCGGTGAGAAAAACATGGTTTCGTCATCCGGATGAGCTATGACTAACAAAGCTCGCCTACATTTCGGTAAATTTCGTCGTCCTTTCACTCGATTACACAGAAACGCAAGTGTTATTAAAAAACAAATAATGCAAGATATAATGATCGTAAAAATCATTCAGAGTGATCAGAACTGGTGAGTTTTACCTCTCCACTTTAAAATCAGCACTTTCTAGAACCTGAAAATGATATGGTGCTTGGCGAAATTACATAAATTCATTAATATAAAGAAAATAGCCATTAATAGTATGGCAATTAACTGAAAAACTAAGTGCTGAGGATAAAAATAACAAAACTGAGGCAAAAAAATTTGTGTTCTGGAGCACAGTATTATTAAAAATAAAGAAAATTATCATTTAAATAACTATGTACCTTAACAAAGGACAACCAATACTCGACAAACTTAAAAAACTAAATGACAAAAACTGGTAGATAAGCATTAAAAAATAGGCTTGAAATGGATCAATTTTTTAACCACATTAATTTTATTCAACTTTAAGAAATCCTTGTGATATACTTTGAGGTTTTAAAAGTCAGCGCTAGTGATTTGCTTTCAACAAGCATATCCCCTAATGATAACAATGATTCTCAACATAATTTTCAAAATGCATGTAACAATTTCCAGAATTACCTCCGTAAAAGTTGCGATACTTTCTCCTTTATCAATACGAAAACGATCGCCAAAGAAATTTAACATTCTCTGACCAAACTGTTGCGGAGAATCAACTCGAAGAATTGCTGACACAGTAATAACAATTAAGCCAACACCGGATACTGACAAAACAGAAGCGATACCAAGTGCGCGAAATCCAAGTGCAAATCCGCTCTTGATATTATTCAACTGTTGGCCTCTGGTGTGGCGATATGTTGATCGCAAACCACAACCAAAGAAAGATCCAAGTGCAAATGCACTCACTAAAATGACTATTACCTTCACATGAGGCGAAAATGAAAAAGTACAAAGTGGAAAATACTTGTCAGAAGTAAATTCTATCATTTTAATCAATCCTTCAAAATTATCTGATCAAATTCTATTTGAAATTCGCAGCAGCAATCGATGATAAACACGATATTCAAATATTTCAAAATAAAAAAAGCAAACAAAACATCATTAAATTTAGTTTTGCTAGAATACAACTGTGATGAATCTGGAGATTAAAAAACAGATTGAAAATTCTTAGTGTCGATATGCAATGAATATGGTCCCGCATTACAAAATCCCAACATCTACTGTCAAATTAAGCAAAATATATGTCAAAGTAGCACGAAAACACTTTGCAACATTTTATGATAATCCCTGACTTCTTTGCACAATTAAATTTAATCACTAATTTTCACTATAACTCCACATAACATAACATAACAGAACATAACAGTTATGGGCACCATACCGAACATATCAAATGTACAATCGATCTCTTAGCGATAAGAAGTTAGCAACTAGCTTTTAACAATTTCTGCTGAAATAACCCTGTTTCCAACTGTTTAAAAAATCTATGAAAACTTACAGAATTTGATTTTAGTTGGAGTAAGAATGAAATTTGCACAATAATTTTCCAAACACTTTACAATGTTACTTTTCGATACATCAGTGACAGCATTCACCTCTGTCACTGCATTCTCCATACAAAACGATATTTTAGCAACTATCTTCCTATCTGTAAATCTGATCAATCAAAAAATTAAACAAATACAAAAAATTTTCTTCTACAAAATCAATGATAAACGGAATGAATGTTCATGCTAAGACTTGAAGCCCATTTAAAAAATAAAAATCAAATTCTTTTAATTAAAATTAGATACAGCAATCTTCACTAATCAGTTTGAATCTAAACGATATTACATGCATAAAATGATTCGACTGCATTATTGATCGAAACTAATAACTTTCAAAACTTCAGCACAAAAAAAATTATGAGCAAGAAATAATTTTAATTAGTTTTTTGCAGACTGCATCACTTTTTGTCCAAATTCTCACCATTCTCTCAAATTTAATTGATGATCATTATGATCTGAAACCATATGCAGACTTCTGTAAATTTCGATACTAGTTAATTTAAAATTATTATACAGCTGACTAAATTTAAAGTAGAAAATATGAAATTGAAGGACAATTAGCTCATGATAACATTAATAAATCTCATTAATAGGACATATTATTAAAATAAATGTGTTCAATCGAAGACGTAATAAACCAGCTTGTAGTGTTGAAAACAGACAACAAAACATTAAAATGATCTCAAAAAGCTTACCAATTTGTTGTATTCTGTTGTTAAGCTGAGGGCACCTAATAAGTCAAAATATGGGTAGTAGTGTAAAATATAAAATTAGAAGACGGTTAAATGAAGAATGAAGAAATTCAAAAGCTAAGTAATAGAATTCTGAATGAATCCAACAACAATCATAACAAACTGGATTGCTAAAACAAGATGTAAAACGTGTGAAGAAAGAGAAAACGTAAAGACAAATGTGTCTCATAATGGCCCTCTGAATTCATTCCAACATACATCGGGCATACGTCACCTGAATTGGCGGCTAAATTAAGTATCTAAATTGTGAACAATCGCAAATAGAACAAATTTCGGGATGTAAAATGAAGTGCGGAAAGTACGCATGTTGTCAGTAATGATGTTTCTGTCGCTCAAGCAAAATCTTCTACTTGTGATTCATTTGGAAAGTACTTTCTACTCTTTTTAATTATGTTAGAAATAAAGTGTTCAAGGTTGAATGAAATGCCGAAAAGCAGGAGGGTAAAAAAATGGTCGAAAACAGAAGATAGCGAACTCACTAAAAATTATCACTTGTGGATGCTGAAAGCAGAAGTAGAACAAGAAAGTTTTGATTCGTTCCATGCTGATGAACTTTCACGTCAGCAACACCTTTTTGAGGTTTTCCATTTTTTTATCTCAGATTACTTGTTATATTTTCTGTATACTATTTGTGTTCATCAATGTCTCATATGCTTGTCCGACTATACACTTTACTTTTTGACTTGTTTTAAGTCTAAAAAAAATTATTTACTTTAATTAAAGTTTTTTATTCACTAAAACAAGCATTCTTGCGTATCTATCAAAGCTTTCGATTAGTTTTTTTATACTTTTATATATTTTTCAAATGTTATGGGAAAGTCTGAGTTAATAACAAACTTGAAAGCTTGAAGCTGATGGAGAATAAATCGCTGAATCCAAAATGGCTGACATCCGCTGATTGTTTGAAACGACAATACAGCTCTGATGATCTTTATGTATTACCTGCTTTCAGAGGAAAAGCCTTTCATCATTTATTGTCATTAAAATGCAGGTATTTTGTTTAACATCATTAGTACTGCATGTTATTTCGGAGTTTGACAGTACTGAAAAGTCTTGAAGTGTTCAAAATAGCTTTATAACTTGTCTCTGATGAAGCATTTCCGATAATGTTGAATCAATAAATTAAGCTTGCAGAATATATGGATCGCTGGCTTTACTTACATCACTCAAACAAAAAGAACGTCTTCCAAAACGACATTCGCCTATTTGGTCCACAACTTTGCTGGGATCAGTTGTCTGTTTCAGTGGAATCGAAATAAAAACAAGAGTGGGTTCTTGAGCTTTGCTTGCCATTAGTTTCCACTTTCATTGGTTCACTGGAAATTATTTGACATTACTAAGTGGTATCAAGTAGAATGTGTTACGTCATTTCTTGAAAGTCATTTCCTGACTAACAATAGTTAATGTTTTATAAGCAGCAAAGTTCGCTTGTAAAAGCAATGGGTGGAACGATTTCAAAAGCATTTACGGAAAAAGTCACTCATTTAGTTGCCGACTCTCAGAATACAACATCCAAAAAATTTACTGTAAGTTATCTTATTTATTCAGGAACTAAATACCTTGTAAACTGAAGTTTCACTTTTGTTCAAAATAAGGAAGTAATATGAAAGAACTCTTCGAATTTATATACATTTGAGCAAGTTCAGAAAGTAACTTTGCAGACTGCTATAGAGCTCTCGATTCCAGTACTGTCAGTTAATTGGGTGTTTGATGCGTGGAATCAAGCGAAAAGTTTTTGCGAAAGTTCGTGCGTTGATGAATGTTTCACTAGAAAACATAGGCTGAAAATTTTTGACAAATGTGTAAGTTATCAGTAGTCCTAGCAACACTATAAAACTACCATCACTAAAAATATTTTCAAGTTGTAATCATGTGTAACTCTCCAAGTTTATGTATAGGTTTTGTTATTATATAGAAATTTTGCTTGAACACTGCTTTAACTAGTAAGAAAAAAATGCTTGGTTACATGTTTAAGTACAACTTAAATAATTATGAATATTTACACACATCGAAAGAGCTTGGTGAAATATCGAAGATTCAATCTCTAAGCATTTGTAAATTGCAGGTAATTAGCTGCTCAGGTTTAGTACCTCATGATCGTTCAATTCTTTCGCGATTAGTTGAAGCAAACGGTGGTGTTTATTCGGGGAATATGAAGAAAAATCACTGCACTCATTTGGTGACAAACATGAATTCTGGTGAAAAGTATAAAGTTGCTCACAAGTGGGGTTGGGATCAAATCAAAATTGTTCGCTTACGATGGATTACAAAAAGTGTAGAGGAAGTATACTTTTTAAAACATTACAGATATAATTAATCACTGGCGTTTTTGTATTATGTATTTTGAAGAAAACTATTACAAAAATATGTATGAATTCCTATTGATTTAAACTAAATGTCAGGGGCATCGTCTGCCAGAAAAGATGTTTGAAACGAAACCTAATTCTGAAATTAAATGCAGTACGCCATTGAAATCGCAGCTAATCGAGTTTCAAGTTCCTCCAAATTTAGAAATTAGCAATATTCCTCGCTCATATGACCAAAACGAAGGAGAAAGTCTTGTTTTCATGTTGTTAATTTGGGTCATTTGCTTTAAATGAGTAGAACTTCTCTGAATTTAACCGTCATTTTTTAAATAATTCAGTACCTCTTTACTTTAATTCTTTTCTTTATTGTTTTTGCGAGCATGACGTTATTATAGTGTTATTAACCAACGACAAACCAGTATCAAATGAAGCTTCAACAGTACGTGCAACAAAAAATGAATCTCATTTCAGTGAAATCGTTGAATCAAGACTTTTTGAAAGGTTATTCTTTTCAGTCTCATCTTTACCAAATTTATAAGCATCTTATTACAATTCTCAGAATTTGAATAAGTTTGTATAGTTTTTGTAGTAAAGTATAATGATAATGTTACAAAAATGTGGATGGTAATATTGTCTCATATCATAAAGTTACCATAGAATCTTTAAAATATAATTAATGGAAAATTATATAGGCCTTTTAATTGTTGCTAATTTTTCGCTCACAATGTTATATTTACAGCAGTTGTATGAAAATGAGGCATGTACAAGAAACGAATATAATATCGGATCCTATTGTGCCTCTCGACTTAGATGCTTTTCAATTCAATGATTTCATGAATGTAAGTTTAGAATTCGCTGCACAAAAATGTACTTAGGAACTCATTATGACATTGTATGTTGTACGGATATTTTCGAAATAGTTTTGAATAACCTGTGATATATATATATATATTAAAATGTATTCAAAAATAATTATGATTCAATAAATTAGCACATTATACTTGTGCTAGTTTTAATCTCTTATATTTGTTTTCACTACATTATTTGTTTAAGAAATGTGTCATATATTTGTGTGGAGTTGCTCATGAAAATTTCAAAAAATACAAATGGCTTACTAACAGAGTTGGGTCACGTCGTCGTGATCAGCTGATATACGAGGATATTACTCATGTTGTGGTTGGCATTCAAAAACTCGATTGGGAATTAATCGAGCAGGTTAATTTTGAATCTAACTCCATTATTTTGAATGATGATTCTTACATGGCATGGCCAAAAGTATTTCACAGTTGTTCTTCAGTTGATTGATCTTGAAAAAGATAATTAAGAATGTTATATTTGTTATGATGAAATATGCATCATTTGCAGATTCAGTCATATATTGTGTCTGCCAAAAAGTCATTGCGGTATTGAACTTTCTCTAAAGAGTTGAGATTATGCACATTACTCATTTTTAATTAAGGAATTCTTTAATGTGAAATTTGTTTTAGTTCATCTTATGTTCTTTCTCTAATGTTATACACCGTTCTTAATAGTTTGAATTTCAGCTGAAAGAGAAAGCACTCCACAATGTGAAAGTTATCACATGTGAATGGCTGCTGGACTGCATCAAAGCTCAAAAAGTTTTAAATGAAGAAGATTATTTAATTTTCAAGCGTGAGGAAGATGAATACCACATTTCATCCCACACATTAAGTGAGGGTGATGTAAGACGGTATAACTACAGCTGTGGATCGAGAAGAAAAGCTAAATTGAGAATCACTGAAGTAAACCCATTTTTAAGTTGTAATTACAGGTCATTACGCTCGAGTTATTAACTTTTAATCTTTTCAACGTTTTATATTGCTTGAAAGAATAAAGTGATTTAAAAAAAGTTAAAACAATCTTTTTTGAATGGTTTGAGTCGAGAGGGGATGGAAATATATCTAAATTTTTTATCTGATAACTGATCTTTGTTTTTAATATGGAATGCATCAGTAATTGAATCAGTTTTTCATCATTCCATTTCATTCAGCATGTATGTTAAAACATCTGTTGTAACTGGGTTTATAAGTCAGTAAACATTTTAGGTGGGATCTAAGGTCCTTGGTGATGCGGTTAGCAAGTTGACGAACAAAAAGTCAGGTTGCATGGATAATAATGCGGATAGTGAATTACTTATTGTCGTCGAAGAAGAGGATGAACATCGTTTGTTCGCCGGATTAGTATTTCGAATCGTTGTTAGAGATGATAATTTTAGAGACAGACTTGTTTGCGATATTGAAAGACAAGGAGGTAACAGTGATGTTTTGTTTTCATTAATCTTATCCAAACTAAAATCTTGTAAAAAAATTTTTATAACAAGTACGCTGATTTTTTGATCTCAATAAATGGAAGCTAATATGTGTAAAAACTTATTTGGTGAGCAATTTCTGGTTCCAATGTTACACCAGAAACTTGAGAATGCATGTACAAAATGTTTTGCATTTGATTGTTTTAGGAATAGTAGAACGAGATACAAAATTTTGGGTTAATTATATGGTGTGTGAAGTGCTAGATTATCTGCTTGATGTCAGCATGCCAGATTTTAATTGTGGTGATATTGTATCGTTGTTTTGGCTCGTAAGTATTCTATCTCATTATCAATGTTTCTTTTCTCATTTTGTTATGGAGAAATGATTTTATCAGAATTAACTAGTCAAAAAAAGTACGTCAAGTATGTAAATCTTTTATTTCGTTAAATATGAAAATTTTTGGCTCCGAGTGAGACCCATTTCTATTTTGAAGTCGGCAAATATCTGAATTCTGAAACTTGCAAACAGTAACTGAAAATTTTCATAGAAAAATCTTTTTATGCTTGATTGTATTCAGTCATCTATTATGCTCGGCAACTTATTTAATTCCCAGTAGTTATTTTGAATTTTTAGCGAGAATGTGTTGAAAAAGGAGCAATTATGAATGCCGAAAAGCATCCTCTTTACCGACCTGTCGAAGCGAGTAATGTTTTAAAAATTTTTGAAGGACATACTATAGGTTTGAGTGCACTGCCGGTTGAGGAGAGGAATATATTTGCTGCAATGCTTTATAAATTTGGTGCAAAGTGAGTTTGTTTTTGTTTTGATTTTCAACAATGGAGAAACTAGTGTTACAGTAATATATATCATATATTCCACCTTGTTATAATCTTTTGTTAATTGTGTTTTCTCACCATGATGATAATGTTTTAATTCTTAAAGTTTTAATTATCAATAATTGGTGCGTAAATTTAGTGAACAAACCAGTCGTAATTATGGTTTGTAATTTGTTAACCATGATTTTGTGATCTCTAATGACTTCCACAAATCATTTAAGATAATTTTAGGGTTTATTGTCGTCTGAAGCATGACACGCACCTAAATATCTTTACTCACATAGTAACCGGATTTGAAACCCTTCACTGTGAAGAAGCGAGACAAATGGGGATACCTGTTTTAGATCCATCTTGGATTCTAGAATCTGTAGTTCAAGTATAGATTGTGATTTCTATCGTATATTAATTAAAATATTTCAGTTGCGGACTCACTTTCTCTTATTTAAAAATATTGCGTATTTATCACCATAGCAGTTTTTTTTTTTCAGAATAAACTGCAACCCGTTGAGCATTATTTGTTTTCTGATCAACTATTCAAAAATTATTCACGAAAAGACTACTTATGGACGCATGCCTGTAAAGATAAACAATATAGTGCTAAATCAAATCAGAACTGTGTTCATGAGCCTGCGGTTCAAGCACCAATAGATGATAATGAAAAAAGAGTCGATGTAGACTTTCCCATTCTAGAAGCTGCGCAAGAAATGATGGGAAACGCTGAAGTTCATGTGGAAAATCCGGGGCTAGGAATGCTGAATTATAGTGAAGAAAGTGTTAGTGACTACAATGTACTTAATTAGTTTGTGGGAGTTCAGTTTCCTGAGTGAAATTCTAAGGGATCATTTTTCTTGTAGATTGCGCAAGTACATCAACAGAAATCTGTTGGTGATAATTTGGTTGCAGCTTTGAATTTCACAGATGCATATGATTACGTGAATAAAATGAATACACAAAATACTTCTCGAAAAAGTGATTCTTGGGTAGGTCTCTATATATCTAAGGTTTGATCTATAAAGTACAAATTTTAGTATATTAATGTGTTAAATGCTGAGCTTATTTTACTTACACGAGCTCTTATAATTCATGATTTTTTTGTTTATTTCTAAACAAATGTGCAAAATATTTCTCACAGATTAAGTCAGTCAAAGGTAATAAAGTTAATAAGTGAAATAGGGTTCGCTTTGTCTATTTCATTATAATGATGAAGTGCATACATTCTACATGATGTGATTTATCCTTTTTTGATCAGATTTTAAATTTTGTGCTGTAAAATTATTTTAATTATAATGAGGTTCCTTTTAGTATCCTAACTTTCACTCACTTTCAGTTCAGACTTCGGCATCTTTTAACTACTTTCAGAATGATACAGCTGTAGGTCAAATACTTAATGAAGCAGTAATTAAAACTGCTCAGGCTCATGAAACGGTTCATATATCTCCAGGAAAAGCAGTTTGTGACTACAATCGTATACAAGTTTGAATTTCTGTTTTTTTTTTTGTTTAATTTAAGCTCTACTACATTCGTATTTCATAACATAATTGTCTGAGAAAAAAATGGACTTATGTTTAACATTTGTGATGTAATAACACTCGTAAGAAACTCTATTTCATTTTCTCAAATATTTTTAACATATATTATCACTCGAGCAACTTTTCAGATCAGGGAAAATAAAAGGAAAGCTACAGAGACTATTGCAATTGGGCATATCAACAGTCCCAAAAAAGTCAGGACAATAATGGTTGATAATATTTGTTCTTCAGATGCTTCAAAAGATGAAAAAAAGTTTGTCGTCTAGTTTTGTTGTCATAAACTGTGATTAAAAAGCATCAAATTACAAGCAGCTTTGAACTTTAATTTATTATTGCAAAAATATCGTTCACTGAAAATAAGCTCTCTATTGAAAAATTTTTTCAGGCGAAGAATAGCTGAAAGATTAGCTAAATTAGCTGTGGAAAAAGAAGAGTTTATGAGAGCAAGAGAAGCTAAAAAAGAGATCGAGCGCGTTAGTCTGTTCTCTTAATGTTCTGGTATATTTGACAATGAGTTTTCGATTATTATCAATGAAAGTAGTGTTAAACGTATGTGGTTAATATAAATTTCCTATTTCATGAATTCTTCAAAATTGATTTCCAGAACTTCGCAATTTTTTCCAGGAAATGGAAAAAAAAGATAGGGTGTCTCCACCTGAAAAGTTCGAAATGCGGTGTACTGAAAGAAAGTTCGTTGAACCACCTCAGCCAGAATGTTATGGATGGAAAGAAAGCAGTCCGAGGCCGTAGGTTTTTTGAATATCAATAGTTTCGTTCATTTGCAAACTCTTTATTTTGTCTTCGGTGTTTTAATGTTATCTTTATTTCTTCTTTTCACCGTTCGAGATATTTTTTAAAAAAATTTTGAAGGTTTTTGATGACACTAAAAATCAGTATCTGTTTTTTATTATATAGTATCTTGATATGCAGCATCATCGTTCTTTTAGACTCGCTACACAAATACTCAATCCTTTTGAAACAGATGAAGTAAGTATTATTTGAAGTCTTCGTTTCTGTTTTTGATATGGCAACATTTTTACGGTTGGAATTTTTTCAGAAACTTCTGAGGTGGCATGCATTTTTGAATACATCTCTGTTAATATTAAATTATAATGCTACTAATCATACTGTCGCACTGAAAACTAATTGTTCTTGACTTTTATCGTTTTTTAATTACATAAAGCTTTTTCAGATTGAGAAGAATCACACACCCCCACCTAATGAAGCAAACGAACAAAATGAAGACGATAAGAAATGGTAATTTAAAAAAAAAGACGTCATTTTCTTCGCTATTTTTATAAAGTCATAATATGCTTTTTATTGAGTGATTTATATGGATTCAGCGATGTACGAGTTTCTGAAAGTACTGTAATGGCAGAATCATTTGATGTACCTGTAAGAAGAATATGTTTCACGTCTACTACAGGGCATGTAAGTTTCATATTTAAAACTGATTACCGTATTTTGTTTCTCCATTCAGCGTATCGTACGTAAACCTGAATTAAGATCTAAAAACTTTTTTCATTACAGGATAGGAATCTTTTGATGTCAATGGTTCTGGAGCTAGGTGGTGAAATATGTGATGAATTTGATGAGAGAGTAACTCATTTGGTTTGCGGACGTATTGTGCGTAATGAAAAATTACTTTGTTCAATTGCGAAAGGATTGTTTGTTATTGATGAGGAATATGTCCTTGACTCCTATGCTCAGTCAAAGTGGCTTGAAGTTGGTTTGGTTTCAATTTATTTTTTTCGTTAACATATTTTTGTTTGAGAATTATTTTAACTACTGCGTTTGGTAGTAGCAGTTGAAAATTAATTTTTAACCAGTGATCTTCCTCTGACTGTTTTTATTACATAAATCAATCGATCTTAGCGAGTACTGACTTTCAAGGAATTAGAATTTTATCACGCTCATTTCAGCTATTCTGACATTCATTATATTTTTCTCAAAAATATTGTTTTGGAGATTAGGGTTTTTATGTTCTTGCATAGAATGCAAATACCTTACCGGAGCAATTTTCTTTTGTGACATTCGGATCTGTGCCACACATAACCTGTTTACTGCTATTAAGAAATTAAACTAACAATGTTGCCCAATTTTCAAAACTAGAGAACATTGTAATAGTATCAGATGAATAATTTTAATTATGAGAAATATTTCATTGTTAACATTTTATTGTTCGGAGTATTCATTTTAATGTTCCTGTTTAAGATAACTTCTTCTGTTGCATAACTTTTGAGAAAGTGATTTGTGTATAAAAAATATATTTGCATATTAAGCAACTACTCAATCACATTCCTTAAATAGTTACTTGGCAAAATGTTTTTCGGAAATTTCTTTTGATATTTTAGACTTGTTGCGGAACTCAAAAACTGTTGATTCACTTCATTTTTTCAGATTGATGACTATGAATGGGGAAGTGACTGTTCATTTAAAAAGCACCAAATCATGTGTCAGCGTTTTATTTCTTTTGCTTTGGCTTGTCATCGGTGGCGATTGAAAATAGAAAAGGTTACAAAAACCTTTTAATTATTTGCAGGCTGCTTGCTACAGTTACTCACTCAGCATATCAGATGAATTTGGGTTTGGTTTCTTGAGTTTCTGAAGCAGGATTTTGCGAGAGTAGAAAGTCTTATCGACAGTATCTAAACTTTTCATTCAACTGAATTTATAGTTCTATACAATTTATGGTCGTTTACTTAACACTACACAGAATTTTTGTTTAAATGTATTTATTTTCAGGATCCGACTCAAAAAGCCTTTTTTGGTTGGAAAGCGTTATTTTATTGCAGTCGTCGACGGTTTTTAGAACTCAAACGTATCATAGTTTTCGGCGGTGGGGAAGCGAATTTAAGGTTTTTTCTTCCTTCATTCTTCCGATTGATACGAAAGAACAAAACACATTGTTATAAATGAATATACTAACTTTACAAGTATTTATTTTAAAATATATCATTCTTCTCTTGTTTTTCAAAGAAAGATTTCATTCATATTACACAGGGACGATGTTTGTTCTTTACAAGAATTTACAATTGCCCTCATAGAGAAATCTCGATTTTGGAATTCTAAAGTAAGTAGTAATTTATTTTGAACCACGCAGGAAAAGTTTCATATCCAAAGTTTTAAAAATCTTTTATTTTATTGATCCATATTTTTCAGATGTTCTGTGATTATTGTTATTGAAAAAAATAGCAATTCTACTAGGGATTTTTTTAGTAACTTGAAAATTTCAGTGTCATTTAAAAGTTTCATATCCAAAGTTTTAAAAATCTTTTTTTATTTAGGAGGTGACCGAACTTATTGAAAATAATATTCCATGCTTTGGTACGGATTACATTGCTACTTATTTAACACTAGAAAGACGAGATGAAATGGAGAATTATTACCACCAAGATTATGCTAAAGAATTGAAACGCATATCTCGAACATAAAATTTTTTTCGCGTGGTTTCATTCCAAAATCCGCTGACTGGAGTGAGATTTATGCGTATGCCCAGTTATTTGTAATTGTGGCAACCCCTATTATGTCAGATTATGTGTTCTTCTTTGGGACGCAGTTGCCAGAGAGCCTAAGATAATGTCATATGCATCATACTGCCGCCAAACCTACTTCTTGTGCTCCTGCTGGTAAATTCGCCATCAACTGACTACTTTACGTACTCAATACTGCTGAAAATGACATACATTCCCGCCATATACTCTTTCTTTGTGCACTTTTTCAGCTCACAAATCTTACTAACAATTAGACACATATACCTGCCACATACTCGTACGCGTATGTACAATTGTTTTCCTGAGATTGCCATCCTCTATGATTCGATTTCTCTCTACTCTTTACCAAAAGAGTAATTCCTGAACCACTCCATTGCTCCAGATAAATATAGTATAACTAAATATAACGGAGCGCACCAACACATTAAATCTGAGATGTAATATAGAGCCACAATGCATTAAAAAACACTACAACAAATTGGTTGGATATTGCATAAGTTGCTGCTTCTTATTCAAAACTGTGATAGATACGAAAATAACTTTATTTCACAACGTGAACAACATAAACGAGTGACAGTTACATATTAATTCTACTCTGACAAATTATTTGTTTGATACTTATTTTCGAGATGCATTTTACGCAAAGAAAGATAAGCAGTCTGAACAACATTATTTACGCTATGTGCAACAATTTTTGTCTCATCTAAAACTATACGCTTCTTAAACAATGGGCAGTCTAACACAAACGTTTCATATTCACCTCCTTCTCCACATACATGGACGCCATATCGATCATTCAAATTCAGCAGGATATCCTTTACCTCAAGTATCAATATTAGTTCACCATTTCGTAACAAAGAGTTAATTCATAAAGATTCAAATGTAAATCAAATTAGGTATTCCAAATATTGCAATAGCAAGCGCTACTTTTGTGACAAAAAGTTTCATTGAGAAGTGGAAATTTATATTAAAGAAATTACTTCAATTAAGGTTTTTCCCAAGTGTTCAGTGGAAAGACCTAGTGTTGCTACTTTAACAATAACTGCTTCAATACCAGAAGAGATGATTTCATGAAACAAAGCAATTTGGTCGGCATTCCACAGATATGTAAGTGGTTTCAGATCCAATCTTTGGCACACATTCTCAACGCGGTTTTTTTGGTAATTACTGAGAATAGCACCGCTTGACACAGCTACAATGACTTTTTTCATCATTTCAGAAATTGAAAATAAGCAAGTTTCGAACATAGAATACATATACATGAAATGCATAATTACTAAATTTTGCTCAGACCGCATACACATGAAGCATAAGAGGCATATATCCAAAGCTATATACTTGATGTGTATGCAGTCAAGTGTATGAATTTTAGTGAACATATTTGTAATCCATCGCTATCAGGTAGTCTCGGAAATAATGTGTATTACAAAATCGTTACTCTGCACGTAATTTGAAGTTGCAATCAATGAAGAAATAAGAGCAAATTTAACTTACCTTGAACATCAGGATGCTTTTGCTTGATGTGCGAAAGTAACTCATACAGATCCTCTACCTCATCATCAACAGTTTCTTTGTACAATGCTCCTACTTCAATCGGTTTTCCCCGTATCTCATGTCGGTAGAGCGGAAGATCACATGCTTCACTATAGAGCTGAATAAATCTTTACACCTCATTTATTTGCAAACAACGGCTCACTCGATGAGCTTTTATATCATAATACTCAGTCAACGCTAATCGAGACTAAATACATAATTAGATGAATAATCTTTAATTCTAAACTAACTATCAAGTTCTAAAATAGATAACTCTAATGAATGCATAGAGATCTCAGAGAAAATAAATTAATACGAATATTTATAGCCTATATGATGGTCAAGAATACTCACATAAGGTTTCTTATGCATTGCTGATATAAGTTATTGTGTAAATGTGCATAGGGATATTTACCTGTAAGCCAGTTTGTGCTACACTCTGATACATATAACTGTCAATTTCCTCCCTGCCATCTAACGGTGGATAAAGATTTGCAATGCACGTTATTTCATGTCCAAACTCGATACATCTGAGTAAATTCAAACAGCTGTCTTTCCCACCTGATACCAAGCCTACAACTTTCATTTTGAACTCTTCATTACATATGAGACTCTTGTGTTACATTCATTATCTGAAACAACATTTAACGCTAAATTAGTGCCGTGTGGAAAGTTATATCAGTGAGCATACATGATGTAATTTCCTATTCTAGAACTGTTTATGGATTTCATTACGAAGCATTGTTATACTTCATATTTTTATATATCTTAGTTACTTTCTTTCAGTTTTACACTCTGTTCTGTATTTTGTTGATTTTAATTCAAATACATGCTTAATCTCATTTTGTGTAATATTCCTGTGTAGTATTTTAAGATAGTTTTTTAAAGCTAGTTGCAAAAAATTGCTTGATTTCTTCTTATTTTCCAAATAATTTATAAATACAGAAAAAACAGAGTATTGATTAACAGAGATGTTTTCTAAGTAGTGTAGTAATATTTGTATTCTTTCATGATTGAGAAAATTTAGTTCGTAATAAAAATCGCAGTTATGATATGAGATTTAAAATTTGTGAACAAGAATTGATTTCTTTGTTTTGTTTCAGCAGAATATTTTCGAGAATGATGACGTAGCGCGCTTACTATTTTATTATGATTCTTTAAATTGATATTATTTATTAATTACGTGTACAAATGATTTCAGAACTCATTTAGCTATCCAGATGGCTATTCGTTGCCAGTTTGAGGCTAGTAATGAAGTTGGCGTGTTTTGCAAGCTGACTAATAGTTATTGCTTGGTTGGAATCGCAGCATCAGAAAATTTTTACAGGTTGAACAGTTCTTCATGTATTTTATCAAGTAACATATCTCTTTTGTCTCAAGCGCTTTTAAGTTGTGAAATATTCGGTACTGTCTGCTTTTCTAACACAATTATTATTATTAAGTTCTTAGTACTGTACAGTCACATAAATGTCATTTACATACATCAAAAGAATTTAATAATTATCATTATTATATATTTTTATGTATGTATGTAAGTTCACTGTATATTATTTATATATATATAATAAACTATGTAATGATGGTAATTTTTTATTTTTATAACTTTATATGTGAATTCCGACTTATTTTTCTTTCATATAAATCAGTTGTTTACTATAATGGCTTTTTGAAATACTCACCATTTACAGTGTAGTCGAAGGTGAACTAGCAGATGTGATTCCAGTAATTCATTGCTCGATTGCTGGAACTAGAATCGTCGGGCGTGTTACGGCCGGTAATCGAAAGGGGTTATTAGTACCAAACGATACCACTGACCAGGAATTGCAGCATCTTAGAAATAGGTTGCTTTCTGTATTGTAAGGGTCATTGAAAGATTTTTAAAATTCATTGACTTTACGTAGTTAATATCATTAATTTTTATGCTTATAGCTTACCTGACAATGTAAAAGTAAGAAGAGTAGATGAAAAGCTCTCAGCTTTGGGGAATGTAATCGCCTGTAATGATTATGTTGCTTTGGTGCATCCAGAAATCAGCAAAGAAACTGAAGAGGTACTTTGACTTTTTTTATGTGCTCATTTTCTATGGGTCAGTTTTCGAATTGTTTCTGTACTCAATTACTTGAAACTAAATGTATTCATGTGAGCCAGTAACACAGGCATATTTCTTTAGCATAATTTTATAATTTTCCAGATCTCATGCAAATTGTTTTGGGCTGTTTCTTGGTCGTTATTACTACAAAATTGAATATGAAAATTATCAAGCTCTTTGTATATCCATGTGTTGTATTGAAACGCTGGTAATTTCTGCTTTTGAAATTTCAGTCACTGGAAGAAGTCCTCGGCGTGGAGGTTTTTAGGATGAGTCTAGGAAATCATGCTTTGGTAGGTTCTGCTTCATTCAAGTTTTCTTTGTTTGGGAAATCATGCTTAAAATCATTCGTCTTAGTGCTTTAGGTGTGAGACAACCTTTTCTATTTTTCTACATTTTCTCGTTTTATGTATAATATATGACTTGAGGTTGGTTCATATGCCGTGACTAGTTCTCAAGGGGCTCTCGTTGAAGCAAAGACTTCACCTGAAATACAACGAGAAGTAGCCGCTTTACTACAAGTCCCTGTTGTTGCGGGTACCGTAAACAGGTTTGGTTAATATATTATACAGATTATGCTCTTTTGCATTATTACATTTAGTCTCATCTTTCTGCTTTTCTTAATTTTTCAGAGGTTTTTGAACTGTAAAAATTCGGCCGTAAATCTAAGATAATAGTGTAATTTGCTGCAGGAAATACTTAGAAATTATGATTTTGGCAACTCTGCAGTAGAAAACAGTTATAACATTGTGTGCTAGAAATTCTGCCCATATCTTTGTATGCGTCTAACTACAATTTACTTCCTTTCTATATGGAAGCATTTTACTGGTAAATCAAAATTTGGAATGAGCTGATTCAAAACTAGGATATGGCTATAATCTGTAGGGGATCCAATCTTGTTGGTGCGGGCCTGTGTGTTAATGATTGGATAGGCTTCGCTGGTCTCGATACAACAAGTACCGAACTGTCAGTCATAGAATCCGTCTTCAAGCTTGGTGATCGCGATGTATCTGGAATAACTGGTAGTATGCGTGATGCGCTCATCGACAGCACCATGTAATAAAATGTTGGTGTAAATTTTTGATGCGCAGAAACATGCATCACTATCTCATATATATTTATACGGTTCTAGGAGAACTCATAAAAGTCCACACATTGGGAAAATGCTCAGCTCATCAGTAAATGTTATATCACAGTTTTTCTCAAGTTTTGTGTACTTGTTGTTCACAGTAATCCATAAAAGGCATATATTTGCTAGCTGATATGAACTCATGAAAAACCAGTGATAAATCATACAAGTTCCACGCACCTTAAAATATTTCTTAACAAAAAAAGAAATTTGTTCAACATCATATTTGTCGATTGCCTCGTTAATTACCTTTTGGTCAATTCTGAATATTTGTGACAGCATCTATATGAAATCTGACGAACTTGAAGTACTATGTCATTGCGGCAAATAAATGTGATAGTGACACAAGATTATACTGGTTATCAGCCACGTACTGGTCACATAACAAACGTAGCCTGTTTATCAAAGTTAGTGCATCTGCCCAATTAGATTCTCTCTGTATTTTCTCTGAAAAATTGAACAGTAATGGCGGTAAAATACACTGAAAAGCACAGCGAAATTGCAACAAACGGGAGCTTCTTAATATATATGGCTTTTTAGTCGGCTTCCTAATTGCCTAAGATAGTTTTCCTACAGCGTGAGACCCTTAATTATGAGGGAAAACAAACTTCTTTGTTCTTCATTGAAATTTTCAAACATTTTAGCCACATCAAATAATGTTTGGTAGAAACTGAGTTGTTCATACAATCGCTTCGCCGAGTACTACACATGAAACAATTATTTTTCAGAATAGATTAGAAAGTTTTAAAGTTAATGCAAAACAGAATACGATGAATGAGAGGGAAATTCTGGTCATGAAGAAACAAGCAAACATTTTTCAAAAGGTCATTGTTAATCTCACAACACGCTCACTTCTCTTCTCATGAGTCCAGTTTTGCAGCATGGACATGGGATGCCTTCTTTTACCCAGGTTAAAATTATTGTCCGTGTTCGATAAGCGCAACCAATATCATCGCACACATAGGAACTCTGAATTAAGTATGACTTCATTTTAACTTTCATTGTCAAGATAAATGATCATTCTCAAATAACGTTAAAGCAAATTTTGTCTTTCTCATATACGGTGAACCTTGTAATAATCAGATATCGCTTTATCGAGAACTAATTGTAACTGATTATTTAAATATGCTCCATTGGATAAGAGAGAAGTACGACAAATAGGACAATCATTTAACCACAATTTTAGATCTCCGGTTTCCTGGAACAGTAATGAATGTATCATTCTAATACATATCTAAATAGTCATAGGATATATACATATAATCATTTGTAGAGCTTTGTCTTAATTACACAACTGCATGGTAAATTTAATCATTTGCATAGTAAGAAATTTAGAGCGATATTTTCTAGTCCCACTCACATCTTGTATTATGCATTCACGGATGTTAAATTCATGTGTACATTCGCTGTTAGGGCACTTGAATGTAAATGATTCACAGTGTTCGAAATTTTGATGTGTATAAGACAAAATCAAATCGTCTTCAATGTTTTCGACAAGTGCAGCTCGTTTCTGATAGAGTGAACTGTCAAGACCTTTAAATACATTAAGACATATAAGACAAGATAATGCTAAAAAACTGGTTTGATCTTGCTAAATGTATGCATTAATATATTATTAATTTTTTTTTTTTATTCAAGTTTTCGCTTTCCTCGTACTCATCTAAAAATTTAAAACATTTTTTCAACGAACCAAGTGTTTGCGCGATGTAAGCTTCGTTGCATTCTTCAATTGGAACACATAACCTACTTATAACGGGGTGAATTTGTTGAGCTATGTAATAATGGAAATCTGGAAAACTTTGTGTAAGAATATACATTTATAATTGTTCAACTTTCGTCATGCAATCAGCAGATGTTGTGAAATAATTTTCTGAAAGTGGAATCACGCATTCAGTTTTAGAGCAAACATACAGTTGAAACTTTATATTTACCAATTTTAAGGTTTTTATTTTCTTGAACTTCACTCAAATGATAAGCTCGTTGAACGGCTGATTTTCCACTACCATCCTGAAAATACGAATTAGGAAAATACAATTTTGGAAATTAATTATGATACTGATGTTATGAAAAAATTTCTCTGTTTAGAAGATTATGAGTTGTTAACACATACTGCATATATAGGTACTACAATAATAATCGAGTTACCCAACAAAAAAACCAGGGAATAACAATAGGCCTACTTCATGGACTTTAAAAGTCGAAACACGAAAATGATAACAAGTGTAGTACCTCACAACCAGCATCCTGCACATCACAAATTCTGTACCAGTCAAATCATTACCTCACAAACTATGTATCCAACTGTATCTCCTCGATGAAACTTGAATTTTCCTGTCGCATTCAAACGGCGTGCAACCGCTGCATGCGGTTGAACATTGATGTCTGCGTACTCATCAACATTTCTAGTGAGCTGCTGAAAATAATACATAGAATCTGACGTTAAACGTCAACATTTATTTATTGTTTGAATTATTAAACCTTGAATATTTGAAAAACGGAAGTTTGTATCAGTCCTTGCATCATTTCCTCCTTCAATTTTCGTAAGCGAGCATTGATATGTTCAACAATTTCATCCCGATTTTGTGACTTCGTTGAGAGTATGATATCTAGTATCTCGCTAAAAAAAGCTAAATTTGTGATCCGAGTACTGGGAATATTTTCTAGAATGTAGAACGTAAATCGTAGTTCAACACTTTTAAATGTAACTAGGATACTTTTTCCCGTCAATACTTGTCGACTCATTCCTTGATCACCTGTCAAAAACTCAATAAAAAAAAACTCATGATTACTTTCCAATTTGTTTCACAATAAGAGAGTAATCCCGCCGAATGATATCCAAACCCTTGATGTCACGTTTCATCTTCGTTTCATCGTCCAAATCTACTGCTAAACCAGCATACTTTTTCTTTTTCAACAATAATAACTTCATGAATATACCGTCAATCTCAATTTCTAGTTTTTGATAGCACTGATTGATTATTTTCTTGATCTAAAGGCATTACATATGCATTAAATAACGATAATTTGATACAATCCACAGTTTTTATTCAATCATGCAGTACGAAAGAAAAGCCATTAATGTTTAAAACTGAAGTATATTTTGGTTAAAAAATTTTTTGCCCTAACGAACACATCTAAATTCACTGTATTTGAAAGTCCTAGTTATAAAGTAAGAAAAGACATTCTATGTAAAAAAGTAAAAAGTAGTTTTAAAATGAGAACAAAACGCATTCCTCACATCATTTCCTAGTTTTTTAACTTGCTGTATTTCGGAAAGCCCTGATAATCCTGTATTGATCATCACAGAATCAGTATCTCCATAAATAACTGAATAACCATTCTTCTCGATTAAATCTTTCGCGTGCAAAAGAATCTGTTAATGAAACATAAAAGTGTCATTACGATAAAGAATAAACGTCTGTGGGCAAATAAGGTCAAAAAGCTTATCATACAGTTCGAATGAAATTGAATAATGCATTATTATCTCTTATTTAATTAATGGCGTGCAAGAAAGTCAAATTATACTTCTCGACCCTGAGCTGTTATTAGTGCTGCTAATGGTTTTGCATAAAAACGCGACTGATGGAACCCAAGACATCCGTACATGCTATTAGCTATTAACTTTAATCCCATTTGACGAATATTATACTGAAAAATCACAACCACTCAATTACACGAGGTTTTCTTTCAGAATCCTTTAGCTTTTTATAGAAAAAAAATGAATTGGATACAGCATATTTTAGCGGCTGCAGTTGAGGGATATTAGCTGTGCAAATTTTATTTATGAGAACCTTAACTTCATTTTTTTTAAAATAAATAAATGAAGCACTTCAAAATTCAGTTTTATTATTTTCTCTAAAATTTCTTCATGACAAATACCAATAAAATAAGAACTAGAACAAAACCTGTTGTTTCTGCTGCTGAGTGAGTTTTTCGGACGCCATCATCTTTTTCACTTCACGCCTTCTTTCCACTAAGGCTCGTATTTCTCGAGGAAGTATTCCTTCAGCTGTTTCTTTCGGCAACTCGGGTGTCTTGTCAATATCATAAAATTTAGAATAAAATAATTTAGTGGCTTGAGAGACTGAAAATAAAAAATGGCTCATATTTTGTGTTTGCTGAACTTCTTAATTAAATCAATGAACCTTAATAATGAACAACAAAGAGAAAAACGGACTTTTTGTGACAAATCGACAGTAGTAAAACATATGTTGTATTCTTGAATGATACTTGGATATAAGCTATTAAAATCCAATAATAATATTATGGTATCATATAGTCCTGCAAATAAGAAAAAACCATATAAGCAGTGAGGAAGTTTTGCCTATTTCAGTTTTTCATAGCATTAATTTATTTTTTTCTTGATCTGACGGCATTGCATATGCAACCAATGACAGTAATTTGATACAATCCACAGTTTTTATCCCTTTAAACAATAACATACAGTATGAAAGAAATACTATTTTAAAACTTGGCATACTATAATATTTGAAACATCAATCTAAAACTAACCTATCTTTGGGTCTAAAACAAGACCACCAACATATTGTGCTTTTCGATTGTGAAGTGTCTTATTGCTGTTTTTCGCATCATCTAAACTCTCCTTACTATACAAACTTGACTGTTTTTTACTGTTGAAATCTGGCCCATATTTATCGGGTGCCACGTACCCAGCTTCACTAAATGCATGCAGAAGCAAATATTCATTTCGTTCTGCTCGTCCACCCATCATTGTTCTTGACTGAACAAACATTATGATATAATCTGTATTACATGATCAAGTAAAATGTAGCTACAGATATTTTCAGACATTTTCCCCACATTATCCTGTTTATTTTAATATTAATTAAATATATACCAGTACTCCACCCACAATTCTGGTAATTTGCACAAATAATGGCAAAGCGTTGAGTTCTACGAGTACCGCAAGAGAAAACCATGCATTTATCCATGTACTGTTGATGAATTTAATCAATTTTGTTGAATTTCTAAATTTAATGTTACATATAAAGTTCAGAAGAGCAAAACAAGATTCTTCAAAAGCATTCCGATAACAACAAAAAATCCTTAACTTTTCCAAGATCAAAAAGAACGATATTTACTAATTTTAACATCTCTGTGCAAGAGATATGTTTCAGCAAATCTGAACATCTAATTTCTGAAAAATAAAAATAAAAATAAAAAATATAAAACGGGAATATTACACAAAGTTTGACGAGATATTTTGATCTGCATTATTTACATCGTAGTTTGTCCCCAGTAAATCTGTTATTAGATCGGGAAGGTCATAACTTCGCATTCTCACTAGTTCCATTGCCGATGACCTGAAACAACAACTCAAATAATATTACCCCAAAAATTTCTGCGAGTTTGTTTACTAGACTTTTTGACCAGTAAATTCTAGCGAATACATCAAAAAAGAAAAATATATGAAAATAAATACTAATTCCATAAATGAATTACCTGCTGTCCAATACGAAACGACCCGCAGTTAATTCCCACTGCGAAGCTTTGGTACGCGTTATTTGCTTGATTGCGACTGATCGTTTTAAACGACCTAGACGAGACCAGTGAGTGATTTTGAACTTCTCCAGACGAGAACACAGTACAGCAAATTGACTTGATAGATCATGGCCCTGTTTTAAGTTAAATATTCTTTCAAACAAATTGGAATTTCTAGCACTAATGTTTAATAACATAAGTTCATTTTCAAATGCAGCCTTTCCATCCGTCTGGAGATGTAGGCCACACATTCTTGAACTTGGTCTGAAAAATTATTAGAAGACTACATGATCCTATATAAAAACGCGTCATAAAACAATAGAAGACTCACAGCGTATGCATCAGGATCTAAGTTCTGCAATCTACACAAGAACTGGTTTAGCAGATGACGTTCATTCACAGTTTCGTACACAATGGTATCCATCTCGGCTTCTTTCAATTTAACTTTTAGATCAAACGGATAAGGCGAAAGAGTAGGCTTTGTGAGAACTAAATATATTTTCATCACACTTTTCTAAATTCATATTAGCTGTGAATAATACTGAACTTATTTTTTCATAAAGGTACAGAAAAATTAACCGCAAAATAAGCTTTATGGCTCTCTTCTTTAAAAAAAAAACTCTTCTATAAGTCATAGTCATACTGCAGAATCGCTCCAAATAATTTCGATTCAATGTAGGATTAGTAATACTACATTTCCGATCAAAAAGGCATGTAACTGCAACGATCTGAAAAATATGAAATGAAAAAAAACATTTCGGCTCGTCTATTAAGAAACTTATAACTGAATTAACCTCATTTTCCTTTTTGTCATTCATTGCTGTGATCACATTGATTGTCAGCAATTTTAAATTCGGTGGTGGATCAGAACAATCGATCACATTGATTGACTTCATTCGCTCCATATCGACAGTGAATTCATTTTTTGCATAGCTAATTTGAGGCGAAGAAATAGCTGGAAACCATTATCAAAAACTTATACTAATAAAAAAATTTCCTACACTGGCTTCAAAATTTGTTCTTCATATATTACTATTACTTTGAATAAACGAGCATATTTTAAAAGCAGAAAACATGCAAAAAAAAAACTTACAAAAATCAGAGATTTCAATCCATGAAGGCCCTTTCATCTTCGTTTCAATCAACAATCTTTCCATGGCGTTAGCGGTTGTATTGAAAACATGACTAAATGTTTCTCCTTTAAGGTCTACTGGAAGTCTTGGACAATTGAACTGCAAAATATAAATTCTGAGCCTTGCAAATTTTAGTTCGACTGACTTGCTCCGTCTCTCAGACCAGAAACGAACCTTGGCATAAAGAAAATTCGGTTATTTATAGACACTTGCAATGGATTTTTTCCACATGAATCTAATGAAAGAATGACTACTACATCATACAAACGTACACTGTATTGTACTTCGAGAACCTCTGCATTTTGTGGAACAATTCCATCATTGTATGCAAACTTCTTCTCACATGGCTATAATAATTTAATTAAGTTGAATTAACAACGCAGATAATTAAGATGCATTTTATTAATACTTTTTCCAGTTTCTCAGAAAACCAAAAAAATACTCGATGAAAGTTAGCACATTCACATCTGCTCACAGTAATCGTAAAAGTCAAACAATTCACGATTGTCTGTCACCATTTCTAAATCAACAGTCATACTCAATTTCTCGAAGACTCAAGAAATAATGAGATATCACTATTGTTACAATTCGAGAGTAAAATTTTTAATGTCTCAGAAATAAACCAGAAGGCTTACAAGAAAAAAACCAACCCGGCATTTAACAATTTTAGCACCAAAGGATCGGAGTACCTTCTGAATTTCTTCATTTACTTGCATCAAATTCACCTTGTCACTCTCAACTTCGTTTCGTAAACGCTTTAAAAAATTAGATCTTAATATTTTAAGAAAATGAAGTAAAAAAAGTGAATTTAGAGGATAAAAAATAAACTCAGAGTGAATAAGATATCTAGATCAAGTTTAAAACCTTTTCACGAGGAAGGACGAAAATTTGTCGCCATATATTTTTGACGACAATACAACAGCTCTCACAAACACCATTATTGAGGAGTCGCCCGAAAAGGTAAACCGTTCCTGAATAGTTTAACGAGTATCTATTACATTTTTAATACAAATAATTAATTTCAAAGTTCTCATTTTGCAGCGAAATAAGAAAAAATTTTTTTATGAGAACGAAGGTTGAGTCATGTCAAACATCTGACATGTTTTCAGCTTCTCAAATTAAGATGAATTAAACACTGCAAAGAATTTTTAAATTCTTTTGATTATTTATGAAGCAGTACATTAGCTTCATAAGGAAACAAAATTGTTAACTCGGTATTGAAACAATGCTATACGCAAACCTGGCATTTTGATGGGATCTTCGAAAGCATCAAGCCAATAAAATCGCAAAACCGAAGATTTTTGTTCATGCATGAAACTACTTATGACAATTTCATTATCCACTGAATATTCATTCCGTTCCTCCTCACAGTTCCTAAATATTTAGAAATATAAAGCTAATAGGATCAGAGTTTGCTAAATAATTTTAAGTAATCTCCATCATAACAAATGAATAACAAAACTATACTTATCAGCTCGTTTCAAAGATGACTCTGATAATTCAAATTCTTTCACAACACATTCACTTCCAAGTTTATTCAAATTTGATTGTGAATACAGAGGATCTTCTGCGTAATCATATTCATTTTCAGTTTTTCTAGCTGAGTAAATATCCACCTGCAGATTAAATTTTTGGTACGCAATTAGTGATCCATCAAACATTTTTTAATCAAATATAGTGACTGGTATATTCCCCAACTATTTTGATAGAAAAAAAATACTAACCTGTCAGAGACTACTTTAATTTTTTTCTAAGCAGCGAATTCAGAAAAATGCTTTTTCTATCCCCAACATACATAGATGTCATCCCACTAATTTTTCTATTTCGAACTAATTTCTGACACAAACTTTATGATTCCACAAAAAATTCAAGACCCCACTTCTCAATGCAAAAACAAATTTGATTACTTTTTCTTGGCTATTCTGAAATTCAAATCCAAAATGAATCGATTCTTTTACACCGGTTGCAAGAGAAGGCAGTATGTTGGCTACCCCACACCCCTCTGTATTGAGTTCTACAGATTTAATTGGTTTTGGTGCAAATTTTACGGCTGCACTAATATCCCTGACATATGGATTCCTACAAACGATGATATCATAATGAATCGGAATTAAAGCTTGCAGTGAGTAAAGACATTCTGAAGTTTACGTTTCAATTATGTGTTTTCTTTTAATCGTTAACGTATCTAGAAGTAGATTTTTGGATTATCTACAGCGATAAACTTCGTAACTAGACTATTTTTAATCTTTAATGCAATATGACATCGTACGAAGTAATTGGAGAAGTTACTCGTGAACTTTTTGATTCATCTTCATTTTCTTCCACTGAATTCAATAAGTCACATTCGTTCAAAAGAGCTTCTACATCCGGATCATCTGTTATAGTTAGTGTACTCTGCAGTACAATGAAAAATGTTGGTCTGTCTACAAATCTGATGTAAATATATATGATATAAACATATATTTAAATTTATCCAGCATATGTAGTGTTGACTTGGTAAAAACGTTGTCTTAATTTGCACACTTTCGAAATAGGTATTTTTTTTTTTAATTCTTCCTTTTTTACAAACTAACCTCCATTTTCGTTTTTTTCAATTTCGAAGCACCGAAAAATTCATCAATAACCTTTCTTTTTGTTTTATCTGAAACGAAAAAGCATAATGCGAATGAAACGACCAATTTGAAAACAGTTAGAATATTGGGATATTAACACTGGGACATTTTTGAACGAAAAATTCATTGCATTCAGCTATATGATCCTTATTTTTTACGAATATAAAGGTTCGTCTAGAGAAACCTTTATCCTAAAACAATGCCCCATTATCATTACTGATGAAACTGCGAAAACTAAGATGATATAAACTAACCTTTTCTATCTTTTAGTTTTTTTGGTTTTTTCGTTCCATATAATTCGTCGTCCAGAAAATCAACACCATGATCAACATAACCACTACCATCTAAAAGAGAATGATAGCTAAACATATGCATACGCCATCATGCAATTCTATTTCGCGAAAAATTTTAATATTTCGTCAATATAAAGAATATGGAGAAGATTTCGCAAACCATCATCAACAACAAAATCGCTTGTCTGCCGCTCCTGTATGATTTTCATATATTCCTCATCATCTACTTCCTCATATACAGGCTTTATGAGATTCGCTACCTGAAAAGATAAAATTACAAGCTAAATTAATGCAATGCAAAGTACCCATGATGTAAAGCTTTGAACCAGATGGAACACATACGTCGACTCGATGTACTCCACCTATATCACGTGCTCGTTTCATTGCTTCCAACGCTCGATTTTTCAACTCTTGTTGATCAGATATACGTGATCTACGACTACTACGTCGTTCATTACTTGCCTGAGTAGAATACGGATTTCGCACAACTAATTCTTCATCAGATGATGAATCCATTATCCTCAAAATAACCAATCAAAAACAAACTTTTACACCTTAATTTTGCTTAAAATGGTACAAATTTAAGCAAAACTCAAAGAACCCAGAAAAACAGTGAGCTAAGTCATCAAACCCACCAAAATCTATCCTTAAGTTGCAAAATACTGGTGCAATTACACACGTTAACAGTCATAAAAATTAAAACAAAAACTTCTCCCGCGTAATATATCTTTGCGCAAGATTGATATGAAAAACGTTGTCCCTCTGTCATTTATTGCACTCGAATCAAAGTAGAAAGATGCGATCTTCAGAAAGTATGTAGTTTGAACATCCGTCAGGACAGCAACAGCCTCGCAAAACAATTTTGTGAGTTGCCAGAAGTTCATTTTAGCCTATAACTCACCTAAAAAAATGCTTCAATTCCATATATGACACTTTGCATCCTTGAATGTCTTGATATTTTCATTAGTTAAGCTTCATTTCAGTGTTTGCAATAACGACACATTTGTCCGACAAAACAGTGTATGCAATAACGACACGTATGTCTGACAAAAACAATACTATTGATGGATAACAAACATGCGTAAGAATATGAGGGTTAACAATCGTCTTGATCAGAAGAAACTCAAAGTATCCATTCATTGCAATACGGACCTTTTCAAATTCCATCGTCCAGTTTTTCACTTTCTTTAACAACCCAAAACTTGCATCTCTTACAAAGAATCCAATGTTGTCATGAGAAAAAAGAGATCAGAGGGCATTAATTTGATTCGATCGAGTTCAAAACAAACTGAGTAGTATGGAAGGCATATATATTTACAGTGACGAAATACAAGCCCATATTTCGAAACACTACACATATGAGAACAGAAAACGACGACGAAAAATTGTCAAACATCACATTTGTCAGATTTCAATTAACTTTAGTTACTAGGAATCCTAAACAAATGACATTTCCAATCTATCAGCGAATAATTGCATATTATATCCTTTTTGTCATATTTTCAGACAAATATTATCAGATATAAACAAAGATAATAAAAGTATTCTAGTGTCAGAGAATCTTCTTTGCTCGCACAAAGCACAGTAAATCTCTTCATTCGCTAGAAGCAGGAACATCAATACCTAAAAAATTAATTTTTTCCACGAAATCTCATTTTAGGGTTGCAAGGCTCAAAATCTAAATGACAAGGAATTACATAGCCCACATTATCCATCCGCTTTCTTCATAAAAAATATACAATAGACAATTTCATTTAAATACAAAATTGGCACACAAAACATTAATTTTTTTGGAAGCATATTAATAGTACATAATGAACATGATCAGATTTCCTACCAATTGTAACTGATATACGATTACAATACCTTTAAAACTCACCAATTGCTTTCATTAATTCGCTTAGATTCCCACAGCGAGAAAGTTCCGAATCAAAATAAGTGACAAATCTTGAACAAGCATCTAGGATTTTGATGATATTTTCACGCATGTATTGCGCACGATTGTCGGCTTTAGACTATAATTATTAATGTAACCAACGATTCCAAGAATATTTCATTCGAAACGGTAACCTAGTACCTATTGCTAAAGTGGTTCCAGCTTTTCAAAATAGCAAACAGCATCATATTTTAATTTCAATTTCTGATACCTCGAAGTTACGCAATGATCCATAATCCAGTAATCAATTCTAATTTGTATAAAATACAAAGATTACCTTGAAAATATTATTCTGATAATAATCAACAGTTGTCCAAGCAAGCAATTCTGGTTTGATATCATCCCACGGTCGATCAGAATCTTGTAAAGTTTTTAGCAGAATCATTTTTTTGTTATTCCATCCCTCTGCATCATCCATGGCTAAACTGATAATGATCTGATGACAAAATGTATGCGCTTCCCCCGGTTCCGTGGCAGGTGACACCTTTTTTAAATATTGCACGAGAAGAACCAGTACAGCCAAATATTGCATATTTGATTCACGACCACCTCCATGAGATAGAGCAGAAAAAGAACGAAATCTGACAAACCGTTCCAGCAATTCAGTTATATCCAAAGTCAGAGTATCCAAATTTACTGCTTCACAGTCAACAGCTGACTCTAAGTCTTTTGATAACCTGCAAGTATTTCGAGTTATTTTAAAATACACATAGAACCAGAAATCAAAATGCTTAAAACGGTAGCAAAACGTTAAAATAAAATGACAATGGTTAAAGTAAAATGAAAGAAATTAGTTGCACCACACGCTAATCTGATGACTATCTATCTGTTGACAGAACTGTCCAGCAACATCAGATAAATTCAATGGTTTAAACTGATAGTTTTCTATATTATTAATTACACTCATATCAAAGTCACCTTTGGAAAGAATGTTCCATATCTGAATCCTTCACCTGCTTTGACCAAATCGGCACTATGATATTACACTTTGTGTTAGCATTATGCAGTGCAGCACTTGCCCATTCACCACGTGAACCCGCCATTCTGTTATGAGAAAATAAGCTCCAGCAAATAAAACAAGCACATGTCAAAAACATAAGTAAATAAATTATGGAAATGTGTCAAATAATGAAAGGAAAAACCTGACAGCTGTAGAATGACAGTCCAAATGAACAAGGTTCATTTGTGATACAGTCGTAAATGAATGACTTCGTCCACAGATTACCTTATTTTCTCTTAAATTCAGCCGACTTGCAAATGCGTACACCTGAAACGTATATAACAAGCCATCAGTAACGAAAAATGATTTACATTATCAAAGCAAACTCAGTTTAGGCATAGACATGATGTTTTCCTGAAATTCTCAAATTCAAAGCATTTAATTCATAAAATCTGCTGCAATTCAATTCCAAATCATTCCTTTACCAAGAAAAATAAAATGCTTTGAAGTTCTATTTGTTCGTTAAACTTATTCTCCATAATTTACTGGATTAGAGCGATAAAATTAAACTATTTTTGGAAAAAATAGTCAAATTGTTCCCACTATAACAAACTAACCATCATTATTTTTCCAGCGCTATCCATTGCTTCCCGACAGATACAACAAACACCAATTTCTGGAGCACAGTCTACAGTATGTGGTTCATTCATTAATTTGCGTGAAGATACCTGAAAAAAGAATGCAAATAGTGAGAATCAGTGAGCGACAGCAGAAGAAGAACAATTTCTTCATTTGTATCAGGTTTGCCCATATTTCAAAATGCATGACAAGAACTTGAAAGAAAACACTACCATATTTAAAAGCGAAGTGATCAAACTAGAATCAGAAATAAAGATTAATTAGTTGCGTACTATTTACTGAGCACAACTAATTAATATCTACAAATAATAACATCATATACTTTCACTTGTCCTTTTTTGCCAATTTCCATGCCGAGTTTTGAAAGTTGCTTTTGCCTCATGGCCATTGCCATTTGACGTTTTTTGAGTTTCGTTTCTTGGCGAACTTTTTCAATCTTAAAGTATAGTAAGTGCAAGTACTTTCGAAGAAAAGTGATATGCAAAACGAAAAACGAACACTTCACACATGATTGCCAGAAAAATAAACAATAAAAAATTTAGAATTTTACCTGTACGGCAACTTCCTCATTTTTTTTTAATTCCTCCATGACATTTTCCGCCAAAGTCCCAATATGTTCAGCAGAAGAAATCTGTTCCAAGCGATGCAATATGGGGAGAGAATTTTGTGCAATGGCTTCCTATCAAATAAATAAGGTTCATTATTTTCACTAGTATAGACTCTAAATTCCCTTGAAAATCTATAATTCTGAGCGTGCTATTTCGCTTTTTTTCCTCAGTAACTTTCACTTTTATAGTCTTCATCATGAAAAAACAAAACATATGATCACATGAAACATTCAGCCCAAAACATGGAGTTTAAAACCAAAAATTAATAATGAGAGGACTCTGAAGGGAAGCCTTGTTTTTGATTCATGTTTCAAATTATTTCTGGAATAAGAATTATGAAAACGAATGAATATAACTTTCACAAAATTCGGAAAGCAGATTTTTTCAAGCTATCTAAAAAAAGATCAAACTCGAAACTTTTTGGATAAATAATCTCGAAATTTTTTGGAAAAGAAAATCTAAGAACACTTTATACAAATAAATCACAATTTTTCATCCTGGAGTGTCATTAATACAATTGAACTAGGACTCAACTGATACTATTGGATAATCAGCACCATAGATGAAGTTAAATTACATCCTTTATGCTCAGAAAAACATTTTCAAACGTTTATTTTTTGAAAAAGAAAATAAGAATTTTATTGAAATCGTTGAAAGAATTTATTAAAATGAAAGAAAAATTACACAACTTATTGCATACAGCTGAAAAGGTATGAAATGAATTAAAATATCCTAAAATAAGACAAGACTGCTACACTCTGAAAAATATACTTCATTTTCAGTAAAAATAAACGTAGTAATTATCAAAGGACAACTATGAAATCCCTGATACTAAATGTCACTCCATAGAGCTAAATTAGAACAACAGTACCTGAGAAGGTATATGAGCTCGCGCCATGCCAGCCATCAACTTCAAGACATACTTCAACGAAGGCTTCGACAAAAAATGTTTCCATTCAGGTCCACTTACAGAAACATTGAATATAGGCGGATGGTTTTCGGCTAAATATTGACATGCATCTGTAATCAATCCAGCATCCATCATCTTTTTCTTTAAAATTCGTCCAGACGCGCTGTCATGAATTGCATCCGTTATTTTGCACAATGTTTCCATTTTTCGCGTCACCTGTTCTCGGAACTCTCGATTGTTATCTTCAAAACGGAACAGAACATTAACTATATATTTTTCCTTTGAAATTTTTCTGTAAAATACAAATAAATCACAATTTTCCATTCTGCAGTGCCATTAATACAATTGAACTAGGATTCAACTGGTACTACTGTATGCAAAATAGCATTTCAGAAAATGACTGCGTTTCTCACAATTGCGTATACTGTCATTCTGCTCCTTTCTATTCACCTCGATAAGTTCGATTCATAATCTTTAGTGGTGCAACAAACCTATCTCATTCCAGCAACAACAAGGGCGAAATGTTTGAACTAACGCATCCATACTTTCGGCATTACCAAGGCAAAGATTTGGGGCAATAGATGTTACTGCTCCTACTAACGATGATGAAAGTTTTTCACTGCTATCCACTGAAAGCTCCAGCAACCAAGACATCTGTTCAAAACTAGCACCGCCAATAGACTGCAATTCATAAGTACACTGACTGCGGTAGTTGTTTTGAAAGTAACACACACCATAAAACACATACCTTTTCAATTTGATCAGTTGCGAGAACATCCACCAGTAAAATCCTACTAAGTTCGAGATACTGCAATGCTACAGTTTCTACTGATTCTTCTTTAATACCCGTTCTATAAGCAACTTCAAAAACGTGTAAAAATCTCCGGATACCACCATGTCTATTCAACTGTTGGCGGTTTTCCTTCACCTAAAACTTTGCATTGAGCTTTACATTTCTGAAATGAAAAACGCTCCGAATGATATTTTAACTCGAAATCAGAACCTTTATGCAATAAGTGAGCAGCCTATGCAGCTCGCGTAATAGCGCTAATCCTCCTCCAGTTAATTCAATGTTGTCAAGGACTCTTAAAATTGTATCAAAGGCACATATTTCAGTGCCTAAAGCTGTAGCCAGACGAAGCTGACTGTCATCTATTTTCTCCTTGGCTGAAAATGACTTATATGAACACAACTAAAATTAGTTTAAAAGCTTTTCTTTCTCTAAAAATGAACAATAATGCGTTGCGCATGTTTCTGGATATTTGAAAGAGAAATTTTTCATGATGAATGAACATTTTTTGCAAAAATTTACGGTTTATCATCACATCTTCTCAGCTCTAAAATAAGAAAATAAATGTATGAGGTCATAGCCACAATGATGGAAGATTTTCTGACTCTCTGAATCATTAAGCGTTTTTATAAATGGTTCTGTTGCGTCTCCAAGAAGACCACGCATACGATACACGATAACCATCGGCTGATTTGGATGATCATCGCGCCATAATTTCTCATGAACATCAAGAACTGACAGATCCAAAGCAACGATTTGTTGGTTTACAAGGAGCTATAAATAAATAAGATTTAAAAAACTTTATTATAATTGCTTCATATTTTTTCCTGAAGTTTGTTAAATTAGTATTCAAAGACCATAAGACTGAATCACAATGAGTCTAAAAAATCAATTACATTAATCACTAAATGTATGATAATTAACAACGACACATGAAAATCTGGCATAAATTACCTCCATTCCAGTGTCGTCATCTAATAGTGCAACCAATTCGCAATCTCGACAAATTTTATTTTTAATGTCTCTCATCAAAGGACCCAAGCCAGCATCGCTACTCTTATATGGATTTCCTAACATTCTTCCCTGCAAATAATCTTCCTGGCGAGGATCCTTCTCGATCTGTATTAAGAAGTCTTCTTCTTTTTTCAGCAAAGGATAAATGACATCACTAATGACTGATATAAGATATGCTTGAACACGTAGAACATTTGCGTGTGCTTTGATACGGCATGTTGTCTCTTTCAACACCAGCTTCGGACGTTTTAAAGCGATTCGCATCAGCAGCACACTAAGTTCTTGGGCTGACTGATTAACATAACTGAAACTTTGACAAAGCATTTTCTATAATTTCATTCAATAAGAGAGAATAAAAACAATAACTGCTTACAATGTACGATGTATCGTAACACATTCAAGAGCACAAGAGGCTCGAAGAAGAAGTGGTAGTATAACTGGGCTCGACTGACAAAGTAAATTCCAGCCAAACTCGTTCATTGGTATCAATAAATTCAACACTTCTATAATAATACATAATTATGTTATCAACGACGCATAACATTTTTGATGACGCACTGGAATGGAGGTAACTTCTGAATTTATTTCATAAGCATTGAATTTAATCCCTTACTATAGATGAAATTATCCAAGTTAGATACTTGGCCAATTAATGGAAAAAAACTTTTACGACTTGCAATATTACAAATAATTATATATTTTACAAAATTTTTTTTCTGCTATAAGAGTAAGAAGTAAGTGTTCGATCGGTAAATAAATACATGAGTACAGAAGTTATAAAGAAATAATGCTTCCATTTTTAATTTTTTTACGATCGCTTTATTTTATTTTTTTTAAAAAATCATTTCAAAATTTAAGCCCCGAAGCACTACTACTTACGAGTGAGACGATGCAATAAAATTCCAACGGAGAGATCTCCTGGTGGTCCTCTAATTTCCTTGAAACGTGTGTCCAAACTTTCCTGAAAATTGCTTGGTAATTCTTCTATCAAAAAGAAACAAATAATCCAATGAAGATCAAAGTTAAAAAGAATTACTTCTGAGATGCAATTATATTGTTTTGAGTTTAAACAATTTTGAAAACTAAGTAAAGAACACACTAATAATATTCGTTTCATGATTTCAACATGAAATTCGAAAGGCTCCGATACTAAGACAGCACGAATCTCTGGTACAGCTAATATTGTTTGAACCAAACAAAAATATTCGTCGACATGATCAGCTGGGACATCGCGAATTTGCTTCATCCATAATAAGATTCTTAAAAACTTTTGAATGTTTCAAATTTAGATTCAAGCTTTTTGACTATGTGAAATATATACAAGTTTGATTTTACAACTATACAAGTTTTCAACTTGAAGAGTAAATCTGTCAAATTTCGACAAAAATATTTAATGAGAAATGACCCTTATCTTTCGAAATGGAAAACTATACTTAAAAAATATTTCATACAAAAAAAGGAACTTTTGTAAAACTTGAGCAGTGTCTATAGGTGATCCAACATGAGCTATTCCACTGTCATTTATTTCGAAACATAACATCAGTAGCAAACGGCAAGACGCAGTACGAATTGCTGCTACTGATGAAAACATACACTGAGTCAGCCATTGATATAAAGACTGAAATTATAGTTTTTTGACACATCCTTTCGCTTAATTATTGAAAAGTCTGCTGATTCAAATAAAAATTCTCCTAAAGAAAATTACGAAACCTAGAACACAAGAAAACAACTAACAAACTGCTCTTCTGAATCATTTAGCAAGCAGCGTTTCATATACTCAGTACTTTGCTTCGTTCTCAGGTTATCTTTTGAAAGTAATTCTGCATATTCTGCCCATATAAATCTGAAATTTTTGACCGGCTTTTTAGTCATAATAGCACACAATAACACTGTTCATGATAAAAAATGATATCGCTTTTTCAACTTGAACTCTTAAGCTTGTCATGCAATTAAATGGGAATAAAAGGTCGATAAAACTGCACTTTATTCCTCACTTTTCTGTCAGCCATTGGAAAGTCGGGAAGTGTTCACTTGGCACAGTCAGTCTATCAAAATCAGGTTTTTCTTCATCAGATAGCTTGGTACTATCTATGGTCTTTGGCACGAAAGAACAATCCAAAGTAAACTCCTAAAACTACATAACTGCTTCGAAATTATACTGATTGCGAATTTCTTTGGGGTAGATGTTCTGTACCCATAAGTTTACTCATCATCACACGGGTGCTTTGAATTTTTCGAAAGCTTAAAAACACTACGTGAATACATATTTAATTAAAAAATCAAGATCCCGGTTGTAATCGCTACTATATATAGATGACAGAATGAAAAACTTGATTTAAAATCGAAAAGCTGATTAAGAGAAAGGTCAGAAACTGACCTGCTTTGTATTTTCGCTTGCATTAGCATCAACAGCTTTTTGATCAACCACGTTTTCTGAAATCTGAGCTTTATTTTCCATGAACAATAGAACGAAGAGTTTCTTGCTGAATCATTTTTAGTGTAATTATTTTGAGATTTATTTGGTCAGAATATGCAGAATTACTTTCAAATGATAAATTTCTTAATATTCATAGCCTCTTCTTCTCAGCAATAAAGACACAATGAATATAAAATAATACAAATAAATGTAATTAGACTAAAAATTAAACACAATCAATCAAGATATTGTTTAAAATAAACTACTTTGTTCAAAGTATGTACAGGATATTATACAAAAATATAAATTCAGCACTACATCGGCAAAATTTAATAACTTTCTCAGTAGTAAACAATTACCATTACAACTGATGGAGTCCATTCCAGAAGTTTCGATGCTAGATGATTCAGTTGCAATATGTCTCTTAACTCTCAAATCAACTGAATTTGGGTAACAAATTTTCAAGAACGCAGCTAATGTGTGTAGATCAATTTCGCTATTACCATTACCTTTAACAGCCATACGCACCAAACAACGCAATTTTTGTTCCCAAAATCTAAAACAAGACATAAATCTACTTCCATGATAATTACTTAATACTGAACGATACATTAAGGAACTGTTTTTTTTAAAGAAATTCACCTTGAAATCTATAATCAAAAAAACAGCAAACATTTCATGAGTGCTTCTGTCACTTATCCTGCTGAGTATGCAAAGATGAATGAAAAAATTTATTCCTAGTTCAGATGTAATGTATTGATTACCGGAAATTATTTTCAAATATTGATTTCGTTAACAGATAACAGGGCAGAGAACCATCTTCTACTAGTTCACACATTTTCTGAGCTGCATCTTTGCTCACTTCTGCCAAATTCCAAATCAAGCAGTGCACAGAACAAGAAATCGGCTCACCAAGTGCACATCCAGCCACCTAAGTAGCAATCAATTTTTTACGAAAAAATATATACATTTGCATACATAGTTTTTTAAGACATATTTTCACACAACTTTGTATTTGTTAGAATAAAGCACCGCCATTCAGACAATATTTAATAATTAAAACATATTATTAATAAGTCCAAAACTGGAGTCAAGCAATAACTATTGAATTTAAGTCATTGCATATGTTTCAAAAAACCATTTAAAAACCAAACGAGACGCCTCACAACATTAAGAATACAATTTATGTCTAAAAAATAGCAAACAATGTTTTGAAAACAAAAATTACTCATATTTTAGAAATAATGAAAAAATGTTCAGAAAAAGCGGTTGATTTTTTTAAATTAAAAGTACATATATTAATGATTTTTCTTGTACATACCTTCAACATCTTATCAACTCTCCTGGTAATTTGGTTCTTTACAAGACTAGCTAATTGCAAATTTTAATGCTTTAGCTACTATGTGTTTTCAGAAGTGCAACAAACATATTTCAATTTTCCAAAACACTTTGATATTCAAAGGCTACTTAAGATCTGAATGTCAATGCAGCTAAAGCAAGCATGAATTTTGATAACTTTTTAATGTTTCGCGTATTTAATATCATACAATAATCACGTTTTCTTTCTGACTAGGCGTTTGAACTAATAGACAAGTGGTTTTAAACACATACCAAACGACCAAAAATGAAATCTTCAGTGATGATTTCGGCCATGGCATTAGCGTCACTGCACGCAGCTTGTATTAAAGCAACACAATGCACAATTAAAGCCGACGTACAACCAATACAGCGATCACTGAATGTAATTAACTATCAAATTCTAGCATGCGTAAAATAGTTAAATCTAGAAATTTCCTTTCATAAATATTTTATTTTTTAAGTTACGACTCATGAGTTTTACGAAATTTTAAAGGAAACTACATGAAAACTGATTGCATCGTAAACTAATGTTAAGGTCTGGGAAAAATTTGGACACAATCGAAAAACAGAGCAGATATTTGCACTACAAGTCTGAAATTCCTTCAAAATTTTGTTTCAAAATATTGGAAAATTTATTAGAACTAAAAAGCCATAGATGTTGAAGCATAAAAAGCTTACAAACTAGATTGAAGATCACTGTTAAAAAATGTATCAGATAATATCTCATCGCCATTTTCAATATCGAAACGACGAAGTTCAGCTCGAGATGCTGCTAACTGACGGATTTGTTCACACAATTTATCATGCAATTTCTCAGCGCTACGATACAATGTAGCGAGATTATAGCCCTAAAAATAAGTGCTAATTACCACCTATCCTATTAAGCAATAGGAAGTAATAAAATAAACAGTAGTGTGCAGAATTTTTCAGCAAGATAGGATGCAGTGTGTTTAACCACCTCTTTCAAATTCAAGCTCGACATGAACTGTGCGAACGCCTGTCGAGACATGTGTTTTAGAAGCATATTTGGTCGAATAGATGGCTCAGAATCCCAAGAGCACTTTTCCATGAGGACAGTAATGATTCCGACTTGGCAACGCGTCAATTCGATATCATTCAATAATGTGTCTATTCGGGTATTTGCCTAAGAAATATTTTACTTTAATTAGTCTTTCTACTCACTGCAGAAATGCTTTTTTTGATGATGGAATAAATTCAGCAAAAACATAACTTCACGAAAATTATGTTCCAAAGTGATGTTGAAAATTAAACGCCTATATTGTAAATCAATGTTTTTGCTTAAACTTATAAAGTAGTGAATCAGTATTTGTTTCGCGCAACACATAAGATTAATGGGCAGTAATATTCTTTTCTCATTGACTTTAGTTTTGCACTGAACAATATCTCACCGCCTTCCTATCGTTGTCATCTTCAATAGTCTGTACTGAAGGCAGTGACCGGCCGATAAGAAACACTTCCAGACGAGCGTATTTGCAGAATCCACATGAGTTACACAAAAATGGCTCCTAAGATGATGATAAATTAAAAAAACTCGTATAGTGATGAAATTAAAGAAAAAATATATAATTTTTTGCATATAGCCACATACATCCAAGTGCTACACTCAAGAAAAATCCCAGTTACAATTTTCCAGTGCACTGCATAAACTCTTTCTACTAATATCAACAGTGCACGTACGACACAAGAATTATTTTGAATTATCACTGAACCTTCTCATCATAATTAATTGCTCGACATTTCACGCACTGAAAAACATTCTCCCCACAATTTGAACAAATTCCTGGATTTGGTGCGACTGATGTAGAACATCGAGGACAGTGTACAAATTCTGGCGCATCTGATGATTCCGTTGTTGTCGTGTCATAAAATTCAGCCATCTCCAGTACAATATTACATGTTGCGACTGGAATTGGAAGTTGAACGTCAATTTCTGTGTCTCCTTGATTAACCTATGAGAATGCCTTCTATGAAAAAGAGACAGTAAGACACAATTTCTCTGTCATTAATTCGATAAAGAACTTCACACAACTAAAATCATTGCAGACAGAAAATTTAAAGCACTGAAATGAATAAAATTAGTGAAAAACAAATCGAATGGACCATCAAGTATGATCAAATATGCTTTGCAAAATCTGAAAACACTGAAAAATATGTACTTCAACATCTGCTGCTTTTTCCCATAGTTCTGGACGATTTTTCAAATCAACTGCTGATTCAAGTTCTTTATTGCAACAGTAAAATTTGAAACGCTTGACCATTTTCGATCGTTTAATTTCACTAAATCGTATGGTTATTCGTAACACCTGTAACAAAAAAAAAGTGCTTTAGAACAAGAATTAACCATGGTTGGATTCTTTTAAATTCATTACGTTCGAATAGAACGCATTTTTATTTTCCAATTAAGTAATTTTGGCATAAATATTTGGACAAAATTAACAAATCTAAACAAAAATTTAAAAAAATTTGCAAACCTCGAAATGACCCATCAATTTGATCATTTGTGCTGACGTTGTGAAGCGAGAGTCTAGTTTTATAGCCGATAATTTCAGCTGCTCCATAGGGCGATTTGAGTCAGAACAAATCAAACACGGAGATTTGCTCAGCACAGAAATGTCCAAAGTTCCTGCAGCATTGCATTACATGGCCCATTTTTTCAAAATTTTAACTGATTTATACATAACAGGACAGTCAGAACAGAAATAGCTAATGATGAAAACATAATTTTTATAGTGAAAAACGAAAAAGGGTTATTCTTGATTAGTGTCAAATCAAACTTGTTCACTCTTCAGTTTATAAAATTCAATATGTACAGTTTTTAGGCTTGAAAATCTATTTCAGAATCTGGTTAGCACATTTCCACAACATACATTCATTCGCTTTGTTCATTTATCTCAAAATACTTAAAAATTCGAAAATTCCATCTAACATGTTAGAACAAACAATAACAATTTATACAGTCTTATCACCTTGGATAATACTATGGGTAACAGCTTAGATTTTGGAACGCTGTTAAAATCGAAAATTTATAAAATGCAATGAGAACATACGCACCAATCGATTGTTGTAATTTTTTAAAAACAATCGAATCTCGACTTGTCTCCAGAATACACAAAGCACTATCAATAGTTTTTACAGCTTCTTTATATACCGCAATCAATTCATCTCTAAGAATATAAAGAGATCATAATATAAACACTCTACAAAATATTTATTCATTTTTTTTCACTTTGCAATGAAAATGACTACTGATGTTAGAACAAATACAAGTGATGAAAAAAACTATAAAACTCACTTTGATAAAAATCGAGGCAAATAACAGGATAATAGGTCAACAAGTTGCATAGCTCGATTACCGATCTGTTGAGCAAGAGGCCAAATACGTTCATACAAATAACTGATAAGTTGCAACTGATTGGGTCGCGATGCAAGTTGAAGTGTAGCACGTAGAATCGCATGCATTATCCAACGTCTTTCTTCATTTTCGCCCAGTAAAAATCTGCATAAGCCGAGCGTTTTATTAAATTATAGGCTTCATTAAATACAAGAAATTATTGTGAATGGAAAGTTTTTGACATGGAAAATAAGCTAAAAATCTAAAAAGATGATCAAATGTTATCATTATTATTAAACTACCCTCTTCTTTCTTTTGAAAATCTCCATTTTACAAAATCAAACTTAAGAGAATTCATAAGCTTAACCGAGACTTTTAGAAGACGTTAACTTCAAGTTATTGAATTCTGTCTCTTCAGAAATTTTTCTTCTGCACACAAAAAGTTACCATCTCTAAGAAAGATACCTTGAAATAAGCCTTTTCAATAAAACAAAAGGCTTTTGTTTACTTAAAAGCAAATCCACTAGAAAGCAGCACAACAGTCCATCATCTGAACAATCAGATGTTCGAATAGCCAATAAAATGAGATTTAAAACGGCGCTGCATACAACATCCGGCATCATACACGCTAGCTCCATTAACCAAGGCAGCTAAAATTTGATCCCGTCCTTTTTTAACTCTTAAAATATGCAAACAGATAAAAAGGATTCAAAGTCTATGGTCTCACCTCTTTCAAGCATATTTTTTGCCAAACAATGCAGTGTTTTCCAGCTATGACAGCAATTCCATTAATGCGACAAACAATGTCACATAATTCAAAATATTCTATGCTTGATCGATCTATTAGGCGTATTCTCAAGTTCGCCAGTAAATCATTAATAATATGCTCATCTCGGACTTGGCGATACTTGATCTACGAAAAATTAGTAAATAAATCGAGAGAAATAATTTCAATATCAATAAATTATTTTCTAGCAAACACATTTTAGGATTTCTTGGAAAGATAGTTCTTGAAATACAGAAAATTTGACTAAACTTCAAATATGCTGAAATTGCAAAACTCGCAGAAAGACCACAAAAGAGCTCACTGTATCAGAATTGCATATTAAAACAAGCAGTTTCCGAGCTAGCCTTCGCATTGTTGATGGTTCTTGAGTAATGTAGTCACACAATAAATTCTTCCATTTACTATTCAAGTGCAGCTCGTTTCCAAGTACTTTTTTGAGCTAGAAATTAAAAACTGGATAAACTGTACTCCAAATACTTTATCAACTATTATTATTTATTTTTCAGAAACTTCTTTGAGGTCCAGTTTTATGGCTTTCAAAAGCTGCAAATGTTTTATCCACGTGCTTTTTTTCATTTACTTCAAATAACTGGTAGAAATGAAACCAATTGATAACTCAAGTTATTACAATAAAACCAATCAACAGGAAGTGATAATTATCTTGCTGAAAAAGTGTATCAGACAGAAAAATTTTACACCTATAATTCTTAAACAGCCCAATGATACCTGATATGGTAATCGAAGTGCGATTTCAATGAGAAGCGTAGTATACATAGAAAAGATATTTTCTGAATTAGCATTTAAAATACGTGCGTTAAATAGGGGTGCAAGATCCGGTTGCAATTCAGGCAATACAGTGGAAAGTTTTTGAATATCTTGTCCATAACACTGCTCTTTTTTCGCCCATTGTTTTTTGAGAGATTCCAGCAGAACATAACAATAATTGACTGCCCCCATAGATACCTAAATGCCATATTCGGAATAAGGAAAATATCAACATAATTAAAGAAATTAAAACAAAACAAACAAATATATGACAATATCATTCGCAAAATCAATGAATTATGAGATAGATTTCATGCACGACATTCACTGTTTTTTCATTTTAATTTAAATTACCATTTACTAAGACGAAAAGCATTCAAAATGTCTGATTTGCTAGCAAATTTATTTCCCTAGAAAAAACATGACTTACCAATGTACGAGCAATCCTGAAAGCCAAGACAACCTGTGGTTCAGGTGATAAAGACAAGTCTTGAGTGTTATTTTCATACAGACCAATGGTACTATTTGTCATATTCATGTCAATATCTTCTTGTTGCGGTGTTGCATCACGGCTTGACGACGATGCATCTCCAGCTGGTTCTATTTGTTCCACATCAGATACACCACCAGTTTCTGCTTCATCACCTTCATCAATACTATCATTTGTTCTCATCTGAACGTCGTGTGTAGAGAGTTTTAATGTTCTTAGCTGAAAATTTAATTCTATGAATGATTGCTCTGAAAATTATCTAGCAACAAGCCTCACTTTTGTAATTTTATTGCATTTCCATCCTACATCATAGATAAATATCTTCAATACTTTTAAATTCAGTAACAGGAACAAATCAAAGTAGCTTCATCTCATAAGTATTTGAAACTTGCTCGATCCGTTTTTTGTGCTGAAAGATACTGAATCCCGTCTCCTGCTTCATTCTTAACGACCTCTTTTGTACCTGTTGAAGGCCAATTATGTGATGTACACTGAACAAGGATTACATAAATCAACCGCAAAATTATCTGATCACGTTCGCCTTTCACAGTTCTTTCCACTTGAATTTCAGTAAAATCCAGTCCATTTATAAGAAAATCAACCTGAAAAATGATCATTAATTTCTCAGTTCAAGATGAATTTTCAGAATTGCAAAGTATACTAACCAAATCTGTCAGCTGATCTGGAGCATGCTGACCTATGAGAAATAGTATTGTTTGTGCTGGCGCTAAACAACGCATACCATCATAATGACAATCATCGAGTCGGTATATAAAAGCAAGTAATAACTGCCCGACCCAATCCATTTCTAAAAAAAATGACTACGCTTTATTCTAGAAGTCAACTATTAAGTTCCTTTTATTTAATTATCTCTGCTCTTTTTCTGACTTTCAAGTACAATTTAATCTCACTTTATCCCCTTAAAATAAATAAAATGAGGCAACTGAATACAAGCTCAAATGATCATCACTCAATCATGGTAACCAAAAGCAAACTAAAGCCATGTATTTTTTTGTTGCTTCAAAATTAGTATGAGAATAGAGAAAGTAACATGACTTAAGAATATTGCTTTCAATCACAATCAATCACAGTAAGAGACAACGAAAAACGAAATTAAAAGGACGGCAGCAATAACCTTAAAGTATGAGAAAAAGTAAAATACAAGTAAATCACTCTTTTAAAGTCTGAACGATATTAGTTTCAGATGTTACTTACTTTTTTCAAGGTAAGAAAATACCAACATCTATAACAAATAATGTTTAGAAGGAAAAAAAACCTTTGCTGAAGTCCTCTAAATCTGATAAAGGCTTCCTTCGAACAGCAATACCATTATCTTTATTCAGATGCACTTCTAACTCTCGCACGATAGTTGGTAAGAAGCCAGAATTTGAAATGTGACTCATGCTATCTACCTGTCCATCACTGGTGATTGTATTTTTGTGTGTTAAAATTGTTGGGGAAACATTACCAATGAAAGAAAACAATTTGCTGTGGTTTTGTACACTTGCAATACAATAACTCGAAATTGTTGCTGAGATCAAACACTTACATCTATGAGCAATGACTATGTCCTGAAAAAGGAAAAAATGAGACACATAACAATATATCAATACTAATTAAGACCTAGAGTGAAACGACGAAAAGGCATACAAAGATGAAAACTTTGAAAGCATCATTTTGAAGCCAAAATTAATGATCTATACGTTAACAAAGTTTCTTTGAAATGAAACTAGTCATATTTTCACTGCAGGAGTTTAAAAAACCAACATCTGAAAATAATATTCGTAAGATGAGTTGCGTGATTTCTGTACAACATTTAGTACCTACAGCCAAATATACAAATGCAGCTAGCAAAAATACTTCTAGCACTGCTTCAGCAGCAAGACTATTCGAGAGAACACAACTGACGCACATTTTTAAGAATGGAATCACATCACCAAAATCTGCAAAATTCTCTACAGCATTTGAGTATGACAGTTAAAAAAAAAAGTTCTATATCAATTAAAGACTAACTGTACACTTAACCACAAGTTCTTAAACAAATAAACTAACGTTTACTGATGTTTTGGTGGAAAGATACTATGCGATTCAAAATTATCGCCTTAATCTGAGCTGCAAATGCATTGAAAATTGACAATTGCAAAGTGCCATTATCTCGATGATTGATTAGTGACGTAAACAGAAACGCATCCTAAAATTGTAAAACATAATTCATATTACAGCATTAAACAATAATACAAGATCTTTTTGCAGAACTTAAAATTAACATGTGTCTACAAATAAGGGTGAAAAATTCCATTTGTATAATACTTTTCAGTAAAAACAAGCATGCACTCAGCAATCAATTTACTTCAGATTAGCAATATGGAAATCCTGAAAACCTTTTGTTCAAGAGCTGATGATCCTATTGGTGACAATTCCTTCAGCAAAATTAGAGCTCTATGACTGACAGTCGGATGTTCAAAGTCTGGTGCAGAGAAACTGAGTGCAACTGGAAGTATCCAATCTCGGCCCTAAAAAAAGTACTAATACTGTATTTTAAAGACATGTATAGAAATAAAGCATAGTTTAACATGAATTGAGAAGACAACTGTTGATGCAAAGAACTAGACAACACGACTATGTGGTAAGACGATAACATAAAATAAAACCTCTTGCTTCATATAAGAATTAATTAAGCAGCAAGTAGAAAAAAATGAAGCAATGAATTGCTCAGGAAGAGTAATAACTTGATCGAAACGAAAAGATGCAGTTGGAAAGCCAAAATCCTTTTTTGATTTACCAAAAACCTGAAAAATTAAAACATTAGCAAGATCAAAAATCAAAAAAATGGAAGAACATCAAAAACTTACCTTTACTGACCAAACTTGAGCTGGCACACTGTTACAACTGAAATTCAGCACTACTTCATTGTTGCTGCAAACAAAATCGCATGAAAGCAAACGGGTAACATTCAAAAGTCAGAACCTGGCACATTAAAAAACTAGAAAATATGCTGGATCAGTAGAAGTCTTTCGACAATAATTCTATCGAATGTTTTCCAGATGAATATCGCAAACAATTATCTCCTTATAAAAGGAAATGCAAAACTGACTATAACAGAATTATAGTAATTTCAGAGTGATTTTACTGTTGGATATAAAGAAATTAAAATTGTAAAATATAACAAATTAATTGACTTAGGAAGATTTTTAATGTAGTCTCTGGTGAAAATTTAAAAAAAGAAAAATTATGAATAATAAAAAATATAATCTTAAAAAAGAATTAAAAATTACAAAAAATATCTTCTCACATACAGTGTTATCAAATCTTCGCATTATTTGGTAAGAACCATAGAAACATTAATCATGAAAAGAATTCATATAAACACAGCATTCTCAATATAAAATAACTACCAATTAATCGACTGCTTCCGAGTTAATCGTATATCAAACATTCTTGAAACTTTTGTTTGAAGATCAATTTTTTTGCCAAATATAGTCACACTAGTTGGACATTTTTCAGGTGTAAGCTCAATGCGGAGCGCGCAAATAATATAATTCCAATCTTGATTCTTCACTACAATATCGAATTCTTTTTGCTAAAATTATAAAAAATTTTGATTTCAAAATTCTTTCATTTTTTCTATACCCATAAGAGAAACAAAAAATTTTGCTAACACAATTCCACTCATTCCCTTAAGATTGAAAAATGAAAACAGTGCCTTTATTATATAAAGAAAACAAGAAAATTTTTTGTTTTGTCGGTAAGTTGCATAAGCAATTCAAAAAACAGATTTTTAAGGAATTAAACAATATTATGCCGTACCTTCAGACAAACGACGCTCATTCCTGAAGAAACAATTCTTTTTGTGAGTTCGCCTGAGTCATAAACAAGTTCGAGAGCTCTACTATAAAATTCAACTTTTTGCAATGGGCAGCACTCTTCAAATATTGTGACTGCATCTGACTCAGGTGTCTCATCAACAATGTTGCACGGTCTTAATTCTGTCTCTTGCATTGAGCGTTCTACATCTTTCACCCAAAAATCAGGATCCATTAACCAATTACTGAAATTCTTGTGGTATTAAACCAGTAATTAAATGATTATAATTCACAATGAATAAACTCAGTAAATCAATTTTACAAGAACAGGTCAAATTATGACATTCAAATATTTCAAGCTTTGTCCTCTGAATTATGCAACCGGTTTTGTTATGATGCCAGTTAGAGTGATGAGATCCATGTGAAGCATTAACACGTCATGAAAAGTCAATGTATAATGTACAAATAAGTACTGCTGAAATAATCTTGAAATAACCTTTTCTCGCAAAACTGAAGCTACATGAGTCTTTTATAAGAAAGGTCGTATATGTTAACCTTTGAAAGACTTGCAGATTCTGATTTTCTACAATTTGTACAAGCATTTGAGACACGCAATCTGCACCAAGCATCATGCACTGAGCCGTAGCTGGAGAAGGCAAAGTCGTCTTTTGCACATATAAAACATTACCAACTGGGTAAAGGAACACAGATGTGCCAAAAGTTGGATGTGAAAGGGCTGCAAAAACTCCAGCGCATTCACACCAGTGACGCAGTGGAAACTCGACAGGAATACTACTAGCTTCTTCAAATTCTGTACCATTGAAATGTAACGCATAAGTATCACCTTCAAAAGATTTCAGTTTCATAGACGAAATTCAAGCATGAAGAACGAGGAGAAGAATGGGCATGAAACACACAAACTACTTATGGGCATGAAACACATCATAAATTATTATTCATGAAATGGAGTAAATGTTTAAAAAACAAAGCGTACTTTCCATAGAAACGAATAAGAACTGAGTCTCAGATGAATAATGCATGGAAATAGCAAATGAAGTAGCAGGTAGCAGAAGCGTTGCTGTCATGAAATAAGAACCACCGTCAGCAGAGCGAGCTTTTTCCAATTCCTCCACATAAAGATGTCCAATCGATGATAGAACAATAACAATGACTAAGCCATCATTTCGTTTCACTGTATATAGCATAAATTTAAAATTATTTTAAAAAAAATCCACTGAAATATGTATCAAAGTTTACAGAGTGAAACAATGGACGGAACCCTTGAGAAAATAAACTGATCACTACTTCGATTTTAATTCTTATAGTTAAAATATTTTTATATATATATTTTTTCGTACCACTTTTATAGATACAACAAACTGTCGTACCATTTTTATACTGGACATGAACGCATTCCTACAAAATTATCAATAAAAACTATTCCATCATCACATACCGAAGGCCACCTCGCAAACATCGCCCAGTGGAAGAACAAATTCAAAAAAATAAGGATCACATGCAGCATTTAGATCATAAATTCGTATAAACTGTAGTGCCGCAATCGCTATCATATTGCTATTATCAATCCACTTGATCTTAATAATCTCTGATTTGTGGTGATAAAATATACTTTTTTAAAGGATGGATATCATTTTCAGAGATTAGTCACAAGCATTGCTTTTTAAAGTTTTGTCATTTATACTATACTTTACAAGGTATTTCTTTTCAAACTAGGCCTCCTATAGATTTTTGTTAATTAAAAGAAACGAAGATAAACCACTTGTTGAATCCCATATAATGAATTTATTATACTAATAGTAGATCCGAAAATGTGAAACAATATTTTTGATCACAGATAGCAAAAAGTAGAAAAAACATTTTTTTTAAAATTCAACCTTAGGGACGGCATACGTTGGAAATAAATTATTAAAATAAAGGTTATGCTTTTCAGATATATCTCCTTCCTTATTGATCCGCAAAATCAGGCACTGAGTTGAACAACATACAGCGAGCAAATCTTTTTTGCCAGCAATTGCGGTAATTTTAAAGTTGACTGCATCCAACTCAATTCGCTGTAAGCAATTATGAATTATGAATGGTCAGAAAAAACCAAAACAGTACAGGTTTGAATCCATATTATTATTATTCTGAAGACAACGTCAACATCAAAAAAATAGTAATTTGGATAGAATGCGAGATTTATTACAATACAAAAATTATGGAGGGGATTCGCCATGGATTAGTATCTGATGTCAATTTGCAAAGCTATTCTAATCACATAATTTGGAAAAACTTATTATAAAGAGACAAACTAACAGGTATATCTAAGTCTTTGGCAGATGGATTAAGCATGGACCGAATACTAAGTAGAACAATTTTTGAATTTTCTTGGACAGTAACAAGTAAAATAGTGCCACCAATTTCCAGAAGAGATATAATATCTTGAAAAGATTTTCCGCCTTCATCTCGCTTATCAATTACTGCTTTAGACTGCAAGGTTAGTGGCTCCTGCAATTAAAGTAACATAGATATGGACAGCACTCATTAAATGTGAATCGAATTTTTCTAGTGAAAATTTAAATTGTCTGTTGCCGCATAGCACATAAAAAAACTTCAATAATTTTCAGTAAATATATGCAAATTTGTGAATATACTTATCACTGGAAAACTTAAACATTGAATTTTTGAAAAGGTTTCAAAAACTAAATAAGGTAACATACCATAATAATTCGGTCGGTTGCTATATTTAAACTTTGATATAATTTTGAACTACTCTCCCTCAATCTTTTTTCACGAGCGTTGATAGATCGCATACACACTCCTTTCTTCACCGCTGTAATTAATGCCACAATGTCTTCTTTATTCGCTGTCACCATATCCATGAACTGACACTGAAAAAAAACAATATTAGTTTTTACTAATCTATAACAAATGTATCTAAACTTTGATACCGCCAAATTTTTTTCAACAACATTAATTATTCGCGAACATAACAGAAATTCACAAATCTGATTATTTGCAAATCGTTACGTCATGTTATGCGAAATTATTAAAAAAAAACTATTAAAAAATTTATACATAAATATATTTAAAGTTAACCCACATCCTATACTTACAACAAAATGATTTGAAAATGCCTTTAAAAATTTCGATCAAACTTATAATTAGGCATATCGTAAAAAAAACATACCAATCTTTTTTCAATTTCCATCTTATCTTGTTCCATGATTAAAAGGTGACTAAAGACACCTAATTTATGGTTCGATGTTTTTGATCGACTGCTCGGAAAAGCAGCATACTTTTGACTACTAACACGTCGTGGCTGGGGATATGAAACTGACTTTAGAGCAGGACAGCCTTTCGCTCCACAATCACAGAAGAATGATCCAAATTTACTAAAGATGCATACATTCAAATTCAAAATCCTTAGTGACCTGTGAATGTACTTTCTCAAAGACGAACCAAAAAATTTTCAAATATATAAAAAAAATACACTATTGATTCAGTGATCGATAATTTGCGACTTCTTAAAACTTAATTACAAGGGATAAAAAATGCCAAGCTTTACCTGTAAGATAAGTCATGACCTCGATGACAATTTACGGCACACACCGAACAAACTCCTTCTCCTTCTACGATATTACAAGTATAACAATTGTACCAGTGTTGCTGAATGAACTGATTTGCTGTTGCAGCAAATGTGCATAAAGGTAATACGCGTGTGCGTGAACATATATTCTTCTTCTGAAACATTGGTCTGACAATTTTTAGGTTAAGCAACTATTTTTTATGATATTGCTGCAACTGCTTCAAAAACATTGTGTGAAGTGTTATGTATCTAAATAGTGCTTCCACTCAAAATGTTCACTAAATAGTGCTTCCATTCAAAAATGTTCACTAATGACTCATTATAATTATTAATCTTAGCTATGACAAAATTCAATATATCTTTTAATTGAAACAGTCGACTCCATATGCTATATGTATCGCAATTTAGTACAACCTCTTAACTTAATACTACCAAACTATGCCTTTTATTCCCGGTTACTACAGTCGAAAAACATTAGGTTTACTACCCATCATTACTTCGCTCTAATTGCAATAGAAACGCTTCAACTTTAACCTTAATGATATGTTTTGGAGTAAAAACAGCAGAAATGTCATCCCAGTCATCGTTCACAGCGGATGGTGGACACAGAGCTAGACACAATCCGCCAATGTAATCCAAAATACTACATAAAAAGATAAAAGCGTGTAAGACGGCGGCAATTTCTGTATCTGACACGTTTGATGAGCCCATCAAAAGCTAAAACTAAGAATTATTCGACAAATGTAACTTCCCGTGATAGTTTTGGTTCAGTACACAGAACTATGCCGTCAATTTGTTTTTTGTATCTTAGAAATAGATAAATGTAATTTCATGTAGAATTAATATTCAAAAGTTTGCAACAAATGAACGAGAAAAAAAATCCCAAGATTTCAAAATAGTAAAAATATATCACTTCTAGTCCATCTAGTCGAATCACGCTGAGCAATTCGCTGAATAATCTCGAACAAAGCTCAATTAAGCGACAGTGCATCACAGGACCACCTAGATTTAACACCGATAGCAAAGCTTTACTGAACACATCTATCTGCTTCAACTGTGAATACTTCCTATTTTCCGATTTTGCCACTTCAGTTTCGATCTGTTTATTCTGAAACTATGTAATTATGTTTGAAAAAACATGATTTCTTCGCAAATGTATTCAATTTTCATCCAACACACTGCAAGACCTAGCGTCACTGCTCAGATATCTTATACAGCGAGCGCGTTAAGAACCAAATCAAATACCAATTTTCTCCACGAGAGTGATGCATAGCTCCATCGATCGCTGCGTTTTACTTCCAATAACGAATGATTAGCCATCTGTCGATAACTGTTCAGTCCAAAAATAATATCCATCATTTCCTCAAGTATAATTCGGAATTGCAAATCTACAAAATCAATTTTACGATGACGATCGATACTCAAGTATTCTATTAAGGGTTGTAAAGCACAAAAAGTTTCCAATGGCACGGCACTGAAGTTGACCCATCGAACAAATATATCTTGATGATTTGTAAGAGGAGCCACAAATCGTGAAATTAGGTGAACATCTGCAATTTATTTCAGAATCAGAAATAACAATGGTTATAATAATGCTAAATTTTTAAAACATTAAAACATACTCTTTAAATAACAAATCATCGACAGCAAGTTAACCAATGGAACAGATCGTTTCACAAGTGAATCGTCATTGGCGATATTTTCCAAAACTGACGAAAATATATCTTCTGGCAATGTATTCCATGATAAATTGGAAGTGTTTTGGGCAGAAATCAGATGCATCAAGACTGAACAAAAGACTGACTGGCCATTTCTGCATAAACAAAAAAAATTTATAAAGTACAGTGGTTTACAAATTGACTTCTCTGCTTGAATTTGTACAGAAAGCTAGACAATGCAGTTCTCATCAATAATAAAAGAGTGTTAAATTGAAACTGATTCTAAACAGAGGAAATACATATGAGAGAATATTCTCATCAAATTTTATTTTCATAGCAAAACAGAACATATATATATAACCACAACAATTACAAAAAAAGACTAAAAAGCTAGCTAAAAACATACAGCAAATTGGTTTCAGAGGCACTCTGATGAGCTAATACTCCACCTAATAAAGTGGAAACAACGCGAGCAAGATGGTAACCCGTGACCACAACAGCGTTTAATCTTGACAACACTGAATGGCATAATTCACGCGAAGCCGTTCCAGTTAATTCAGAACTGTAAATGAAAATCATCCAATCAAGGAATAAGCGTGCTTCATCGTGACGTGCAACGGCGCTCCTAAAACACATATCATGAATGAATTACAATATCGATTCCTGGAATACTATCATTGAAGTTTTTATATCTAGGAATGGTCTTTATAATTCTTTGAACATTAATCACAAGAATCAACATTCGCTTTTATAATGATTAAAAAATATACAATTTCCATTTACAATGTAAATTTCTCATCACTTTAAATTGGTAGTATTTAATTTCCACATTTTACAAAAGATGTAAAGTTAGAAAAACAAATTGATAAATATCCAAAGATTTTTTCAAATGAAAAAGAAAAATATACTACATCAATATTCGTACATCAAAAGTAATGAATAAAAAGTATTAACCTTGATAGAAACTGGTTTAATACAAATCGAACAGTGTTATCACTCAAAGAGCAAAGTGCGGAAAACATCTGTAACACAAATTATTAACTACATTCATAACTCTTCCATAATAATGGAACTACAAATTGAAAAGTAGACGGTATGCGATCAACACTCTACACATGATATACACATAGTGATTGCAAATAACGTACTTGTTTCTTGACATCTTTCACTTTTGCAAGGACTGAAGTTGGCATTTGAAATGTGTCACTGACTGCATCAAGCATGGCTGGCGTACAAGAAAGCTTTATTTCTGGTACCATAACTCCGGCCCAAGTCCGAACTATTTTTATCAAATCATCATTTAAAATAGAATAAAGTTCACCACGAGCGTGTGATACCGCAGCATTCAATATATCGTTTTTGGCTATCGATAATGATGTTGCACATGCACCCACAGATATAGTGATTTTACTACGCTCACACATGACGTTTCTGCAATGTATTAATTACGTATCAATGTGTCATTAACAAATTGTTATATGCAGTAACCCTTATCATTTTCCATTTTTTCATTTTACTGGAGCAAAACTTTTTATGATACGGATTGCCCGTGCATAACATAGAAAGTAATCTGGTACAAATTTTGAATTTACTCATTGAAATTGTTTTCTGTAGCTCAAATTTTGGTTTGTAAATCTCATTAGAGCACAAAAATAACATTTTGCAGCTAAAATTGCAAAATACACTTCATAAACAGCTTTAAGGAAATGCAAAAAGACAAAAGACAGGAAATGCAAACATCGCGTTTTTATACATGCTGGACACAAATTCTGTTAAACGCATAAGTTCATCGACTGAGCAGTGGTACTTTCTCAAATGATTGTAGAAAATAAGCAAAGAATTATAATACTGTAGAGGTAACTTCACAAGATCAACAAGCAACTGCAAAACATATTTAATAACAGATTTAAAATTTCGATTTTAATTACAACCAATAACTTTAAAGCACAACTTAGTCTTCGAGACAGATTCTAAAAAAAATTGATTGCAGCTTTTTGATATACGGTTTTAGGTGCAAATGAAAAAATGAATTACATTTCGGATGATACTGAAAATCTTACGCAGTCATCGACAATCGGAAAACCAACGTTAACAAGAGTACTGATTTCGAGTAATTGATTTACGTCTATATTCTTGATCCCTTCGTGAAATTTCTACAAAACAGAAGTGTAATGCAATACGAATAATATGAAATGAATCGTAATTATTTCAAAATTTCATCTGCATGCATTCGAATCAGATACTAAGAGCAAATATTCTTTCGTAACACTGAAAAAAATAGGCACCATTAAGAATTTTAAAAGATTCTCAAATAATTTAAATAAAAGATGTACCTGCAAATAAGTCAAATAAATATTGTTAAGAAGCAGAGGTCGAATGCAGACAAAATAACACCGTTCAGCTGCAGTAATGGCTGTAGTATCAAGAATCCTTGATAGGAACGACAAAGTCGGCTAAAAACGTCATCTCTATATCTTTTCTAAAGGCATGAAATATCTCACGAACAAAAGATGTGACATATGAGTGGGGTGAAACTCTTTTCTCACCGGTAAAATTATATGATCAGGAAGATGTAATTCGTTCCATTGTGATACGTGCAACCAACTAACATACAAATCATGCAGTTCATCCCAATGTTTGAAATTAATCATCGAACAAGTTAATTTAGCACCTTCCCATTTTGGCGTTTTAGTGAGATCTGAATTATTGTTCAAATGATCACTATAGATAACAAAATTATGCGATGAACAATGAAAAAACAATACGCATTTTACCGAAAAAATCACAGCTACACTTCCGAAATTTTTCCATTACAGCCTCTGCCTCACCATATGACTGACCGCCAACTAGGAGAATATGAACACCTTGCAACATATAAAACACTTTTTTTCGATCCGAATTACTGTAATAAAATTAATTTTTAATGTCAGCCTTTTTTCCATAATAATAAAGTCAATGATACTCATACAAAGTAGGGTAATGCAGTCATTAATGGCCATCCAAATATTACAAAATCTTCATATCTTCGAACAATATATTTGATACTAGAAAAATTACACTTACCTCTACAAAGTAGAACTCTTGATGACAAGTCATAAGTAAATTTTGTTATTTTTGAAATATTTCAAATGAAAAAAAAATTTCAGATGGAACCTTTTCAACATACTATACAACATCTGCAAAGCACTCCCCGCAGCTTTTTTTAGTTCTTCAATGCTTAACAGCTCGGCGACACATTCAAGAAGCCAAAATATAGAGTGTTCAGGAGTACCATTTGTTGTTTCAGCATTAATGGAACACAAAATATGATCAACAATCTCTGATGTGTTCTCACGACCAAATACGATGACAGAAACAATTTTTAAACAAAACGGATCCGAAGTCATAATATCTGATTCTTTTCCTCTTGGAAAGTATAGCATTACATCCAGCAATCGCATCTAGAAAAACCAAAACTCATTATGGTCTGAGTTCAAATCAGATATTTAATAGAAAAGAGAAGTTCTTCAGCCTCACTTTGTCGTTCTCATCCAAATAATTTTTGACAAGTGCATACTCCAGGAGCGAGATCAACAATGCATTAATATCCTCTGTGACACAATAACCATGGTCACCACCAGATGCAGCACATAACTCCCGATAACAACTGAAACTTGAGCCTGTCCAAACGTTTGATGTATTCTGCATATATAGCAACATGGATAAGCTTCGTTCACATATAAACAGCAACTGAAATGCCAATGAAATTTTTGAATTCAATATGAAACCAATACAATTTTAATACTTCTATGATGCTTTTAAAAGTCTTCCTGACTTTACCGTAGGAGAAGACATCGTAAAGATAGAAGTTTTATGCACATTAAGAGCATCTTCTTGTTGATCCATTAAGACAGGTACAGCTCTTAAGATATTTTCTAACCAATCACCAACCCCTGCTGCAGGATCATCTGCAGATAAAACTTTTTAACTATAAAATATAAATGAGCTTGAAAAAAAAACTGATGAAAAAATACAACATTTCTAACACAGAATGTTGAAATAATACCGGAAGAATCTGTCGAAGCTGATTTTTTCAGAGAAGTAACATCCCCCAGTTTCAGAGCATGTTGCAACGATTCTTTAGCGACAACCCAAAGCACTTCATACAGACTTGAAGGTACAAAGGCCAAAAATGATAATGCTGTCGGAATAATGTTGAAAAATCGATTAGCAAACACATATGCTATATCCATTTTGCAATGCTTTAACAGCTATAAGAAAATAACGACAGATTATGTAAGTTACATTAATTACAATCTTTGCTGTTTGGCAAAATAAAAGATATCCCCTCCCCAAAATACCAACACGCTTTTAGAGATCTTCTATAGAGTCAAATCAAACAAATACTTGAAAAGCTCAAGCATGTTTGAATATCTTAATTTCTACGACAACCAAAAGTCTTTAAATTGCTTTAAATACGTTAAGTTTATACAACATTCAGAAATGTGAAATACAACAACAAATATTCTCCCTCAATATACATTGAGGTACGAAATTTTAGCTTAATGTTTATTACAATTCTGGTATGCGATTCAGCTTCAAAAACTGAATATAGAAGTGAATTAAGTTCTGCAGTCGTTTTAATCATTACCACAAAAGCTTGCTAACTCTAACACAACTGTACTGGTTTTAATAAAAACTAACTTCACCGATGCAGAAAGTGAAAACCTCTGTCGAATTGGTTAAATGATTTTTGGAACAGATTGTGCCCACAGCCAAATCAGAAACACGTTTGTGTATATTTATTACTGCTGAACTACAGGCACTTGCTGAATCAGTATGCACTTCCTCGATGGTATCATTACAAGCTAATGTACTGATCATTAAAATTAATGCATTCGATGTACGACTGATGTATTCCATGACCGCTTCTGTTACCACGCCAAAATTAAAACACAGCACTTTTTCGACATCAGTGATTCCTTTCTGTATAGTTGATAAATCCCTCAAAAAGAAGAAGTTATGGCAGAAAAAGAATGATTTTTTCAGCCACATAGATGAAACATGTTACTCACTTGTAATTAATTGGTGAACAAACACAAAATGACCGATGTATAACTGCGCTTCGGAACGGATCCAAAAATTTGGTTGGTAATAAAGCAGAAAGCAACTTCTCAATAGGAAAGGATGAAAAAAACAATAACCCGTTTATAGTCATTATATCTTTCTGAAAATTTCTTGAAAATACTTATTACCAAAAATAATTAATCGCCAGATTATGTTAACTCCCTGTTCGAAATTGCTGTAACTTACAACTAGGTGACAACCTGTAAGTTACAACTAGGTGACATTGTTATAGATTGTGAAGTAATGTGAATACGACTATGCGCACAAATTCTTGCAAATATGTAAATAATTCAAATGACTTTTGAACCACAATTTTTGGCGATCTTAAAAATCACATGGTAAAGATTCTAAAATATTTAAACATTCATGCTCAGATTCAACATATATAAATAATATATTCATGGAACACGTTTTGCATTTTGAAAAAATATTTTAGAATTTACTAGACATACCATTCTTCAAAAATAATTTCTTCATAAAACTGAAAAATGAATAATACTTACAGCAGAAATGTACATCTCTGCACACTGCTGAGAAACGTGAGCCTTGTCATGACCTTTTTGATTACATGGTTGTGAGCACAGATGGTTATAATACTCATCAGGTAATGGTTTGCCAGTTAACAAACAACAAATTATATCTACAAGATGGTTTGCGTCGATATGTCCTTTTTCCAAATACTTTATGAAATGCTTGATCAACACACGATATGCTTTACTAGCAAATAACACATTGTTATTAGTCACTGAAAAAAAAAAACAAATATTTCCAGAAGAAAATAATCTTCAAAAACTCAATATGTACTACACCCAACAAATAGTAGGATTGTGCCAAAAAAAAAATACTTACATTTATTTAAATTTGTGCCAATAACATGAACAGAAAGAATGATTTCATCCCATGACATTGATGAGCCCTCGTTAATGACATACAGAAATAAGCTGGTCAAATGTTTTGGTTCTTCTCTAAAATCACCAGCAATACACCAAGTCATCTTTGCTTCCTCATTTTTTGACATCAGAAATGATTCTGAAAATTTTTATTCATCAATGTAGTACATTTTAACCAATATAAAATGGATCATCAAAGTGATATATTCGCATACATTCTTCTAGACCAATTTTTTTAAATTTGTACAACTTTGAAATTTCTATCCCAAAACATCTAAAAAACAGGTTACTTTGCCAAAAATATGTAAGGAATTAGCGATTTCCGTATTTTTTCAATTACAGAAATGAAAAATTTATTATGTGTAATGTCTTAAACTTTTTTTGTATCGTAATCAACTTAATACAAATACTTGCAAAGTAGTTTGTTCACCAGTATTCTAATCTTACATATAGGTTGAAAGAATTAAAATTAAATAAAATTTATCATTTATTCATAGAATAAGCTTAAAGTCACAAGAACGAGGTGCTATTAAGGAATATGACGATGGAATAATCGTTACTACGATATTTTATGGCCTAAATTAATGATGTCAAAATATAAACAATTTGCTAAAAATTCACTTAACCATACAACCGTTTAATTTCTTTATTCTTTATATGTTTTTTAATCGAACTGAAAGATTCGATAATAGTTACTTACTTTCCTTGCCTTATGTGTTTTTTATCAAGTCTAAACGAGACAAGTTGTTATAACTGATTCACTATTCTGCTTAGTTTTTTTTGGAGTTTGAAAAGGACAAATAACAAGCAAAAGCGATGCAAGAATCGTAAATCATGTGTAACAAGATTAATAAAACTGTGCATACATGAGCTTGAAAATGCAAACAAATGAGCAAGTTGTAATAGATAAAAATACTTTACGAAAACTACTGCACCGTCTTCATATCAACCTAGCAATGTATATTTTATGCTGTATGTAATTAATTTCAGAATGAAAAACGCTTCAATCCATGTCATTTCTTAAAATTATTAATATTCATATCTAAATGATTTTAACTCTAATTTCAGTATTTAGTTATAATACTGTGAATTCAGTTCGATTATTTCTACTCAACTATTCTATTTTGTTCGCATCAAACCTCTCCATTTCTATTGAATGCATACTCGTTGAACTAGCTAAATTATATCTTAAGCATTCACTGCTAAATAATTGGATCTGATTAACGACTCATTTAATCCAAAAGTCCATACTAGGTAATAAATCTTATATTCCTCGTTCTTAGATTGCCTGAACTATCCATAATCCAACCTCATCTCCTATTCAACATCCTTTCATATTATTCTCATTAACGAGACAATAATTTATATATCGTTCTTTTTATATTCATCCATGATACATTATGCAATGATTCAATCCCGTAGATTCAACTTCCACATGCATTCATCTTTTTCGTGCTTTTTTGATGCACATCAGGACACATTTTATGAATTGCAGTACGTATTATGCTTTGTGTTATTGTAAAGTTGTTGTCAAATATTGTTTTCACCATGCATGATGTTTACATTTATCTACGTTTTGCAAGCATTTCTGAAAAGTTCTTTTTGCTGTGATTATTAGTGATGATGTTATCTTCACTCATTAATCCGATTATTGTTGCTGCCCTTGATTCATCTTCTTTATCATATATTGACTGGAATTGGTAGACTGATCATGATGGTAGCTATGATCGTAAATTTGTCATTCTCAATTTTTCAAAACTTTCGGGAGGCAATTATTAAATGTTTTCTCACTGCTGCAGTCACTATTTTCATTATAGCATTTTGCTTGTGTAATAAGTATCACATATTATGTTTTGTTTGCTATACTGGTTACTGTATTTCATTGTTAATATGCATTTCAATACAGGGTGTTGCTTTACAATTACAAAGCTTTGGTTGTATTTCAAAATGCATTGATCTGACGTTTAAGTGCGTTAAATGCAACGTGATGTTTCACTTAACGGCAATTTGAAACATAAAAATTAATTTCAGGTCACTTAATGAGTCAACAATCAGTTTTGCGATGTTTGTTACGTTGGATGTCGCGTCGACGGAGATTTTTGTGCATAACGTTTATTCTCTCATCTTTGATTTTTTTTCTTGCAAATATCAGCGTTCAGTTACTGTTATTGGCTGCCTCACGTCGGGATTCCATGGTTTGTTTGCTTCTCACTACTTCTTATTCGTAAAGCATTTATTTTGTTTTATTCATTTTGTTTGCTCATATTAACATTCGCTAACAAAATAAGAGTTCTTTTTTTCCTACTTCGCTTTTATATTAATTTCTGTCCTTCTGTTTTATCTTTCTAACAAATTAGCAAATTCTGTTAGTTAGAAAGTCTCTTTTAAGCTTGAAATATTTTTCATACTCATATTATTATCAAGTAGTTTCATGATGTCTTCAATTAAAATTGCATTTTCTTGTTCAAATGCTCATCAACATATGTTCAAAAGATTTTCATACGATCACGCATCTAAATATTAGCGGTTATAATTGTAACATTGTCATTGTCGGAAATTTCATACGTTGGAATTAATAAAGTACCGTGCTCAAAATGCAACTTCCGCTGAAATGTTTGTAGCTAAATACGTTCTTTGCATTATTAACAAGATATATTTTTAATTTGGTGTTTACTAGTGCCTTTTTTTGTGTTAACAAGTTTAGTACAGGTAATATGAAAGTTTAGCTATTTAAAGAAATCACGTTAACTGCAGCAGTCGTGTAATAGTAATGGTATAAAAATGAAGTGCTATCGTTTACAAATGTAAATGCTGGCGTTCTTTAATGCTTGCGGAGCTACATTAAACAAAGGAAGAGGAAAAAACACAAATCTGATTTCTTATAGTACTTTCAATTTTATTCCATTACAGAGCCCTGAATCAGAGTTCATATCAGGAAGTACAGACTTCAAGATAGATATTGGAAATTCTAGATCCGTCATTTGAATAGTTAATTATTGATGCGTAACTGTGGATGATCAAATTGAAAAGTTATATTTTGATTCGTAATTATCCTTCGTTTATTCAGCTTAACCATAATTTGAGACATCTTCCTGCGATATTAGGTTTTTCTCCTAAAGACTAAAATCCTCTTTTTAGTGTAGTATATTGAGAATTATAATTAAGATTTTTCGGCATGATTGATATGGTTGACTTCATGATTTGGTGATTTCGAGATGAAAATGTATGATTTATTATAAAATCAATCGCGCACCAGATTTTTTAAAAGTATTTCAATCTACTAGAAGTTTGATCAACAATTTACCCATTTATATTTGCATTGTTTCTGCAGATTGTAAGCAGTTTGCTGTCAGACAAGATCACAGTGGATGAATATGAAACTTCATTTGCGGACGGTAGTAATTTTTTTTAATCATTATTATTATTATTGATCCTTTTTACGAGAACATAGTTATTTTGAAATTACTGGAAAAAATTTATTGCAGTTCAGATTTTCGTTATTGTAGTTTGACTCTTTTCTCACCATTTAAAACTTTTCAGTGGTCTTCGTTAGCAAAAATTGAAAAATTTTTGAAATTATTCGAAAGTTTTTAATTGTCAGTATATTTTGAAACTAGATGTTGCCAGTTGTTTGGTATCACAGTCAGATGCAGTGTTTTATCCTGATTGTCTTCGAAAAATGCATTGGATGGAGAAAGGATGGAAGACACACAAATGCTATGCTTTCTATGGTGCTAACGGAACAGCTTGTTCATCAAGAATATATCTCTCCGAAGTTGAAAGACATTGTCCAGTCTTACCATGGCGGGATATTGAACTTGATGCTTCCTCCTTACCTGTGAACAAAAGAGCTTTGGTGAAATATTAGTTTTTTTTTACAAAGTATACGGTATATAGCTTCTATTGAAATTATGCTCAGGAGTTTTAGGCAATACATTTGCTGCCAAATTTGTCAATACACCGCATAACGCTGATAAAGATACAGTTCGTAAGAAGATTAGCACCATGTTCATCCTCAGACATCCAAGTTTAATAAACTTGCATGATGTTTTTGAAGATGATCTGTATAATGTATCTGATACTAGCTTTGAATATTAAAACGCTTGAGATCAGGAATAATTGAAGGCATTATGCCTTATGTTGTCCTAAATAGCATTTCATTATAGATTCAGCGGGACTTGTCTAGACTTTTCGCTTTAATGCTTGACAGTAAACAGAATTATCTTTTTATACAATCGCGAATCTCTCGTTTATGGACTGCATGGTTGAACGCATATGATACGATGGTAATCACATGGCCAAAACTTGCTCAACCAAGAGAAAAATTGAATGTAAGAATTACTTTTTTGTACTGTATTTTTTATTTTTGTTTCATTATATTTTGCATACAATTGCTGATTTTAGATATTTAGATAATAGTGCACATGGGTTTTCTTAGTAAAGAAGCCAATTTCAAATTTGGAAAGTTATCATCATTCGGTGGACCGCTTGGGGAACTTGTACAGTGGTCTGATTTAATCGCGGCACTTTATATTCTGGGTCACAATCTTTTGATCTCCACTGAAATTAATACTTTGGAACAGTATGATTTTTTAAAATAGTTGCATAGTATCCATTTTCTAAAGAAGATAACAAATATCAGGTTGCTTGTGGTGAATTCTATTTTATGCTTCAATTCTAAAAATTGAAAAAAAAAATTGTCTTTATTATTTGGTTATGAAGTTTACAATATTTTCGCAAATTATTTTGCAAATGAGCCACAAGTTTTCAAGGATTATTCAAGTTTCGGTGTATTCAGCTTCTATAATAATTGTATTTTTTCACCTTAGTATATTAATACGATAAGTATTTCTGTTCTCTGATATAATAATCTGCGTAATAATCTAACATTACATTTAATTTACTTTTATTTTTCACGTTTGAGCTTATGTGGTTCTTCAATTTCAGAAATATTAAAAAATTTGATTATAACTATCCTTGTCCGCTTCAAAATGATAAAGCGATTGGTCTCTTTTTCACAGACATCGTTGGTCTCATATTTTTGCGCAGGAAAATGTTTCATTTTTTTAATAGAATCAAGTACGTAATATGTTTTGTTGGAGCTAGACTTTATCATTTTAAAATATGCTTTGTTTTGTTTTTAAAACGGAAGCAGTTGATTTATGGCATTTTGTCAATGATTCCACAAATAAAAAATTTGCTTTTTGGTGGTTCATATAAATTATTTAAACAAAACTGGGCGTGAGAAACAATGTTATAGACTTTCACTTCAGTTTAGTATTTTTTCGATAAGATGTCTCCATTACTAATAAATCATTTTTAGTAGAATCAAGTATTGTTTGTAAATATTTTACGATTAAAATCTTACTAGAAATAATTGGAGTTTTCAGGTGTGTATTGCGAATTTTGGATTCTTTTGGTACACATGCAGAATTCAATTCTAAAAACTACTTTAAGGCCCACAAGATTTCTCTTGGTGGTTCAGAAAGTAATCCATGGGGCAACCACCATTTAAACTTACAGCAGTTCATGACTATGTTTCCTCATACTGATGATAATACGTTTCTTGGATTCGTAGTAGAAATATATCCTCTCAAAAAAGAAGTCAAAAGAGAAAACGCTACATTGGTTAGTTAACGATTTTGCATCGCATTTGTACTTCATGAAGCATTGATTTGGAGCCTTTTTTAAAAAGTCTCAGTAATACGAGTTTTTATTCTAAGAAAATATATGTTTTTCACATTGCTTTTAAAAATATGTCTGTAGATAATCCTCCACACTTTTGTGCATGTTATCTTGAAGAATTCAATTTTTGCATAAGTTGTTTTAGGTATATGGTAAAGAAAAATATATGTGGAAAAGTATGGAACAGCTTATTGAAATAGTGCAGAATTTTACAGAAGTGCATGCAACAGTTGCTGATGGAGTTCCCAATTTCACTAAACCTGTCATAAATCACGGAATTTTATCAGGTCCACAAGTACAGCATTTATTGCAAAAAGTTAAAATATTCTTAGGTCTTGGTTTTCCCTTTGAAGGTCCTGCCCCACTGGAGGCCATTGCTAATGGCGCAATTTACATCAATCCTTCATTCAATCCTCCGAAATCGCGAAAAACTTCTAAATTTTTTGCAGATAAGCCTACATTACGTGAGGTAAATTTTAAGGCAATTTCTTACAGTTTCACTGAAATCCGAAGAGTTTTCATGAAACTATATTGTACTTAAAATATTTTTGAGTCGGATGAGATGTCATAACTTCGAAATTCTGGCAAAGTAAGATTGTTCTTTTCCGAAAACAAAAAACTGCTCGGCTTTGATTTTTCCAAACCTTAAATATTCAAATTTCCAGCTAACCAGTCAAAATCCTTATGCGGAACTTTTTATTGGCAAACCTTATGTGCTAACTGTTGATATTCAAAATTCCTCTCAAGTAGAAAATGCAATACAAGAAGCTTTACTTTCCAAAGTTGGTTTTGTGACTGCATCCTCATAAATTCTTTTTGTGAGCATATCTTCAGTAGGTTATCAATGAGAGAAAATTATTCTGGACTTTTTTGTTGCGCATTCATGAGTTTACTATTTTTGAACAGTAAGATAACTTTTCTCTTGCAAATTTCTATTATTTCTAATAATGATGAAAATAATTCCTCGAAACCCATTAGAAAATGTTTTTATTCGATTTAATTTCTGATTTTCTTCAAAGATTTCCATGCTGCCAGGTCAATACTCTATGTCTTGCAGCCTAAAGCGTTTATTCCTTTTGAGTTCACGGTGTTGGGAATGCTTCAAAGAGTCACTGTTTTAACTTCAAAACAAAATTTTTGCTATCCCAGTCGTTTCCCACCTTTTCAAGCTTTTCGGTTTGTTAAGGCAGCTTCGATGCAGTCCTGTCAAAGTGCATGTTATGAGCATAGTTAGTTTTCATCGTTCATCATATTATCTTTGCACTCTTGAATTAACCGTTATGTGGTGCCATGAAATATAATGAATGATGAACTCAATAAGAACTATGTATTTTGCACTGCTTTGCATTATTCTACTTTTATTCTGTTTGTAAGAAAATATTTGATGTCGTTTACCGTTATCTCTCAGTTTTTCAGATCTTCGTTGTGAACGTTCGTTTTTTCGCTTTGTGAATACCCCGGAATTTGTTAACAGGTAACAGCTTTGCAGTTATTTGTTCTTGCTCTTTATGCAGACTAATTTTTTGCATATTAACCACTTTTCTCGCTTTTCTAGCAGAAAATATTTTTTACAAGTTTGCAAAGTCATTGCTTGTACGGTTTGACATGAAGTCAAAAAATTTCAGTACTGGGAGATGCGTGAAATTGAAGGCTGTCTCTAACCCTGATGCACCATATGCCTGCTCACAGCAACGAGATCCTGATCTGTACAGCTGTGCAACTGTTCCCACTGCTACAAACATTCGACGAATATGTCCATGTCGAGATTTTCTACATCACCAATCAGCTCTTTGTTTGTCATGCCTATAAGTATTTGACAAGTTCGAACAGGAAATTTCGTGTTGGTTTTAATACTTCATCTCTGAGGTCATTTCTGTTCTTTCACAGTTATTTATAATTTTTATAGGCATTGATCATTTTATCATCCTAAACGAGTTAATGTGATATTTCCTACTCATTGGTTATTTGGCGTCCTGGTTGCTATCTCAAGGATAGGTCGAAATGCAATGCCATAAGATCTTATCAAAATCAAAGAAAATCATTTCCTCAAGAAACGACAGCGATATTTCAAGGACTTCATGCGGAAACGTTTGCCAGCATCGCACTGACATGAATATTTACTAGATCAGTTTTTACACAATTAATAATAGCCGTATATTTGTATTGTAAGCAACAATAAAAGCTTATGACAGAATAGTATTTGAAAAATAGTTAAAAAACTGAAGATGTGCATATGAAAATGAATAGATGTGGTATGTACAATAAGTTTAAATCTGGAATTTTTAACTCTTTTGAATGTTTCAAAAAATTCTGAACTTTAAACAGCAAAATGACTGGATTAATAACAGTCACTCGAAAACACATCACTTTCATCGTTCATGTAATTCATTTCAACAGTTCTGCATATCTATATTTCGGATGAATCGTTTGTACTGGTAAGATCGCAATTCAAACTAGCAATTGCCATTCGCATTGCGGCGCGGAAATTACGCAAACTACGTTGGAAAAGCCTTAAAAACATCTTTCAGCTAAAGACACTTTTAATGCAAACCTTCATCTTATAAGAAGTCATTCTGTAAAATGACGTAAAAGTATCAAAGGCTGAATTATCCTCTAGATCATAAGTATTCGCCTGTTTCAAAATGTTTAGTATTTTAGCGTATGTGATTTCAATTGGGAGAAAGTGTCTTCTCAGATATCTTGAAAAGGAACTTTCTTTGTAACAACAGTATCGATATGTGTACACGTTGAGTTCGACAATGAATCTTGTAGTTCGAATATTTTAAAAATAAAACTTACGACTGATCTAAATCTTTGATAAATTTGACGCGGAAGGCATTTACAACAGCTCTAAAAATAAGAATATTAAATATAACGAAATTAAAATGGAAATTTAAGCGAAAAATTCTAGCACGAGCGAAAATTTGCAACCTTGTTTCTAAAGATAAGAAGTTTTGCACACTTTCTTCCAGGGCAGTGACATCGATAACAATTTGTACAGTTTGTTCATTTGACAGATCATGTAAATTACTTAAATGATTGAGCAATTGGTCAAATGCGTTCTGCACTGCTGGGCTAAGAATCTTAAATTTTGAACAATATGAAATTTTAGATAAATTACTCTCTGAATTTTACACAAATTCCCTGTAATTCCAACATTAGGGAACGAATAGGCTATAACCAATTCTCATGTACAAAAAGTTTTATTGCCACTTTAAGGAAAGTTTGCAATAATTATTTGAGCAAAGTTTTCAAATCGATAATAGTACTTTCGGAACATTAAATCTTGGAAAAATAAAAAGTCCTAATCACAAATTAATTTTACAATTATTTAGGAGAAGTACCTCGCGTATGAGATGGGGAGCAATCAAGTATACTTCTGATTGTATGAATACCAAGCACATTATAAGCTCCTTAATATAGTCAGATGCTTCTAAAGTAAAAAAATAATAACAACGAGATCATATTATTGTTCATTCATCAGTTTCTAGTGGACTGACACTAACAATATGAAAAAATAAAATAAAAACCGCATAATTCAACACTGATGCTGACAAATTTGAAAAATTCTACATATCATGACTATCCAACTCTTATATCTGCGAAAAAATCTGCACACAATTAATGAGAAGCAAGAAATTAAAGAAGAATTTAAATGGAAAATCACCTTCGTTGGGTAAATCTTCATAAGTGGCAGACTCAAATAAAGAAGCAAATGTTGCGCACTTTATTTGCAAATAAAATTTCAACAAATTTTGTCGGAATATCGACAACTGGTCTTTGCTTTTCTAGAAAGTTATTGATTAAAAACGTTAAATTAGTGAAAAATTTATTTCTGGAGCTTTTCACCCAGTAAAAGCGATAAAATGTTCACAATTCTTGAAAAACAATCAAAAATTGTTCTTTGCACCAAATTCACTACTAATGAAAAGCATGTCAATTTTAGGACAAACTAACCGCGAATATGACGTCACCATATTTGACACCATTTTCGGCTAAACGACGACATAATACAGGTAAAGAATTACTTAAAACATACTCAATATTACAGATGGAAATCAGTAATTTTTTGTTCGAAAGAGCTCCTTCGTTGAGTAATACAGTTGGACGCCTCAAATCGCCTCTTAAATAGACAAACAATGAAGTCAGATAAACTGAATGACTTTTTGAATAGTAAATATGAAAATATTTTCCAAGACCAATGTAGCATAGAGTTCAAAAAAATAATTATTTATTAACAGAACTATGCACTAGAAATTACATTTCAAAGTGTAACTTTAAGATCTGAATGAAAATACCTTAGTTGCAAAATATCTTCCACACAATCTCTGATCGAGGTGAGAATCATAGTGAACAAATCAATCAAAATGGAACGAAATCGCTCACGGCTAAACAAATCTAATTCACCAGGATAATTTGAGAACGAAAGTATTTGTCTAATTTGTCCCATACCATCGTTTACCTAAAACAAAGTAACGATTAGCTAATAAGAGTGTGGTAGCTTCCTGCATTACGAAAAGTTTCGTGTTCAAAATTTAAATACATGAATATCTTTGAAGGTCAAAAAAAAATTTACTTCGGTTTCATATAGATCCGGCAGAACTGTTTTCGACAAACCCGTATGTGTATTTTCCAGTTTCCATACTTCTCCATTCCCTACGTTGATAACTCCTAAAATGAGGCACACCACTCAAAGTACGTTTAATCAGAAACAGATATTTCAGACAAAAGAAATTAAAATGTTAATGATTCTGAAAATCCATCTAAAACTTGAAAATGTCACAGCAAACAAATCTGAAAACTTTTCAAACCTTGATTAACGCGCTCGATTACTTTTGACAAGCACTTCAATCTAAGAGTGACACACAATTCAAATAATGGTTGCAGCTGTTCCGAAAAAAAGTTACAATCTAACATGGTGGATATGCATGATCTGAAACAAAATTTTTAGTAATACGATGCCATAAAATTTTTTGTGCTTTTAAATTAGATAAACTCTAATGATTATAATCTTGTTAGCAGGTAATTTATAATGATCAGAAATTTTTCCCTAAATAAAATCATAATGTTGAAATGAATTTCCGGATCGTTTACTTTATTCAATAATGAATTTTTTAATTGAGAAATAAGTGTGGTTTGAAGCACGTAGAATTGAAACACAAAACGAAAAAATATACTTAGATACCTTAAAATTTTTAATGATGAGAACAATTGGTGAGTAAGAGTACCAGAAGCAATGGGTGGCCATTTTGCAAATTGTTCTCTATATTTATGCAGAACTGATTCCGGTAAAGCATCAGGTACTAATGCATTCAGCATTAACCATGATGAAACGTTAATTGTATTTATTAGCATCTGCTGAAATTCACGATATCGTTAAAAATTCATGAACGCAATAGCCATCTTGAAATTTAAAAAACTGTTCAAAAGAGCCTGAAAATGTCGCTGTGCAACTTTAGCTCAGAAATTTCCCAGACTTCAAAAATCTAAAATACAGTTCAAAGAAATTTCAAATTTCAAAAACCAGACATTAATATCACTTGTCCGGTCTAACGAAGTCAAATTTGTAGCTGATGATGAATAGATTTGTGAAAGTTTCCAGAATATTTGTAATTTACCGGTTATTAAGTCTACCACCTCCTGAACGAAATCATGCAATATATGTGCATTATCTTCACCCACTGCAATAAGCGTTCACGAGATACATTTATGAAGAAGCAATTATCCAACGAAAAAATTTTTTTTCATTCTTGTACAAAACCGACAGATAAAAATTAATGACTAGAAATGCCTAGTCACAAATTTGGCATTCGAATTTTTACTGCTTTTGAGAACCAATCTAAGTTTAAATGGAAATAATGAAGAAAGAAACGCACTTATAAAATGAAATATTAGTGAATTTTATAGACCAGAGAAAAAACTCGATGAAAATACAATTGTCTAATTAAACCAAACGTTGTTGGAATAATTTTCGAATTAAAAAGAATAAAAAGTAGTAATTTGCACATAAAGTCATACTTAATTTAAGGTGTTTAGCTTGAGTTTGCCATAAAATATCTTCTAGCCAACAATGATACGCTGTGATGCAATCCCATGCCGGATCTGAGTCTGGTTCAAGAACCTGTAAGTGATGAGAGACAGCAACAGTGAAGATGCAATTTTTGCTTAAATCTTGCACACTAGTCATCACAATGTAAATTTCTCTAATATATTTTTTTAGAGACAAGAGAAAGCGAAAATAAACAACGATTATAAGTTATCACTAATTCTTAAGACAGAATATTCACGTAGTAGAAAGAATGTAAAAAATTTTACTTTCAGGTATTTTATCAATTTACTTTGATCTTCGAATGATGCCGGCATATTGATTAAACGCTGCTTTATATTTCTCTTGAACACTTCCATTTTTCTGTCCAATTCTGCCATCACTAAAACTTGTTTCGAAAACAGTTTCATTGAGAAAAAAAATTTACAAGCTTATATAAAACGCCTCTCTGCAAAAAAAGAAGACCTTCTTTAAATAATGCCACTTCTGTATCCTTAAAAAGTGATTTTGCACGAGTGTAATCATTCAAAATAGTTGAATACTCCCCCTGAAAAAAATACAGGAAAAAGATAAACAAATGTCTTCAAGTATTATATCAGTTTGACACTTTGTTCTGTTTAACGCAAATGATCTATGACAGATTTTTTTAGCAACAAATACAAATAAATGAAGTTTCAAAAACCTTTGCTAGGTTTTGATCGATAGCGCTAGAGAGGAAAAATATGAATCGGAAACGAGTAAGCACTGATAAGGCATTTCGTGTTGCATCAGCTCGATCCTTGCGAGTCAGAACTTCGTGAAAAAGAGTATTTGCCATTGTATATGAGTCAGCAAGCTAAAACCTTGAAACATAATATACGTAATTTGAAACAGAAATAGCGCAAAGTAGATCCAAAGTTCCTCTAAGTTATGCAAAAATCACATCCAAAAATTTTTATTGTCCGAACTTTTTCTGAAATATTTCGAGTCAGTGGCCATCCACGCGCGTTCTTTTCCACTTGCATTTTATCATGTAGAGCTGCTAACGTATCAACACAATTGATCAGTGAACAGAGATTGGCACGATGAAGATCAGTGCTGTTCTTCTCACCTTCTTTAGTGCTTTGCATTAAATTTGCCAGTCCTCGTCTAAGGTCAGAAAGTCTGGAAAAAACTCACGAATAAAATTTGGAATAGAGAGGCAAGAAATTTGAATTATTTGTTGAAAAATATCTTACACAGTATTGAACTATGCTGAAACTCATGAATATTTTCATGCATCAAGTGCATAAATTGCAGTCGTGAAAATTCAAAAATTTAATGAATTTCGACTTCTACCATCCAAATGAATAACAAAGTTTCTAAATCTTGAGCGTACTTTGTTTCACGATGATTTTCAAGCAAGTACCAAGCTGCACTGAAGTTTTCCATCCTAAGATTACCCGAACCTTCAGGAAACATTTGCATCAAAGATGTTTGATCCATTTTCTTATGTCTTAATAGAAACTTCATAGCGAATGGAAATTAAGTACTAAATTTCTTTTCTATCCATTAATACGGTGAGACTAAAATATAAAGAGTATCAAACGAATAAATAAATGATTATAATTTTATACTTAAAGTGAAACTTACGATTCAACCTTTAATTTTAAAGCATCCAAACTAGTTGTTGTTTCCGGAACATGACGAACAACTTCACGTCCAGGGACCGTTCTGGTTTCATCTACCCAAACAGCGCTTTCCTCTAACGGACCCACCTGCATTATAAAAACTCGAAATGTCACATTGGAGGTACTTTTTCCCATTGACTTTGTCAAAAGAACAACTTCGCCAACACCACGTTTAGCTTGTCCAACGCCTAAATACTCCCGCAAGTTTCCAAAAATGCAAGAGGCTATGTTATTTGAAACTTCTAAATATAAATTACAAAAAAGATAAATGAAAATTACATATATACATGTAAAATTTTCAATGTAAATATGAAATGTCTATAAAAATTAATGATAACTGGTATGACCAACAGAAAAATATGAAAATCATTAATGATCTTGATAGCATACTTTTTTCTAATTTAATAAGTGTACTAACGTGCAATAATTAATGAAGGTGACTTCCATTTTGCTGACATGATGCAATCAGTTCCACAGATAGAAAGAGCAACGATATCTGATTGACTTTTTCCAAGATTTTCACCACGGATTTTGATTTGTGTTCCCGGAACTCCTTCTTTCGGAGACAAACCAGTGATGAGTGGTCGCAAGACGATATCATTACTTAAGTGACTATCGTTTTCCACCATTCTTAATCAAATATATATACCACACAATTATACAAGAAATACAGAATCTGCTATTTTTGTGAACAATGTTATTAGTAAAATATATTGAAGCCAAATAATTATTCATTTTCAGAACTGAATTTGACTCTGACTGAGCTTCAAATACTTTTGGTTACAAAGGCTACATTATATACCAACCAGTCATCTGACTTCAATGTATGAGCAGTTAAATATTGTATAGTTTATTACAGTTGTATTATTTTATCCGTAAATTTATACATTATTTACGAAACAAACTGCATACTTCGATAACTTAGTAAATTATCTCTCAGAAGCGCAAAAGCGTAAAACTTGACAGAGTATCTTATTTTTACAGTAATAAATTTGCTTTAACAGTAAGTTAGAGCTGCTTTGACATTTGGAAGAGTGAATTATGTCAATAAAAAACTTTAAGTGTGCAAAAATCTGCTCAATATTATTATACTATTTCGTGAAAAACTTGATGCCAGAATCAAATTAGGAATATTCTGAGTTTATATGTGAAACAATGCATCAATAATTTATACGAACTTAGGACTGTTACGAAAATAGTATGTCGCTAGGATTTAACAATTCATAAGTGAAGCTGCCGGCCGTATGACCTTGAACGTGCAATCGCGTCAAACATGCGGTTACATTCTGTTTATAAAGAAAGTGATATGGTTAGTGAGTCTATGCACATCATTTCACTCTGTTAGCTTATATACGTGTATTTCATATTTTGCATGATTGTTGATAAACATAAATGATGATATTTCGCTTTTGATTCCTCAATTTTCAATGTATTTATTGTAATGGGAGCTATTTTGGTAACTTTGTGTTCTGCAATACGTTACGCTTTATTTTTCTGTTATCAATAATGAGATGCAAAATGAGATATATTTTTCCGCAAAACGTTCAGTCTAGATCTTACACTGTTGAGTGTACGTGTCATGTAACTCAAACAGTCTGTCCAGAACACGTATTTTGCTACTCTTTTTATGTGAAAAGTAACTTTTATTGAAGTAATCTCGTATTGATTTGTTTAGATAAAATTATCATATATAAATCCCGTTGTTTTATTTGTTTTCCGTCTTTTTTTGAACATTTTTAAATTTCGAGGGGAAAAAAACAGCTTCTTTTAGAATGTACGAAATTTAGTAAAATTTTCAAGTTATTGGAAGGAGGATGGAAGGGACTGGCCAAGATGCTGTGCTTGAAAAATTTATTGTCAGGACTGGTGCTGCAAACAATATTGCATTTGCTTTTCTGGAAGGTATTCTTTCATTTTATTTGTATTTAAATTTTTACTTTGCTGCTTATAGGAATATATCAGCTGCTTTTGCTCCATTATTATCGATATATGTATTCAAAATAATGATAACTATCTAGCATAACTTTTTATCTTTATAACATAGATCATCAACATGTGTTAGGACGTTAGTATTCTCTACAGCAACTGCGTTTAATGATATTCAAGTAATGCATTAGTTATTTAGAGCATGACTGGGATTATGATATATCATTGGAGCATTATTATGCCTGGAAAAAAAAGGAGACAGTAACTTCACAATTTTCCACCTCACTATCGTGTGGTATGTTGCTGTGTTTTGAATTTTGTTTAGTGGGGTGGCTTTAATTCCAAAAGTCGGCAATTCTAAGATCTTTGCAGAGAAAGTGGAGGACTATGATGCAGATGAAAGCAGTGGGTGTGGAAAGGCTTTACGTTGGCCATCTTACGCTTTTGTTTTACCAAATTTATTCGATCAGCCTGCTGATTTTAGAAATTATTTGGAGAAGGACTTAATTGAAACATCAACTCTCAAGCGACTTGAAAACTCTGGTAAATTTTAAAAATGTGATTAAGTTTAATTTTTTTTTGATTGTAAATAGAACTTTTGCACTATTCATTGTTAGTAACATTTTCCAAGCTTTAAAAAGTAATTTGCTGCAACATAAAGGCATGATTTTTGGAAAACCTGTAATTTTTTTTCGTGATATAGGTCATTTAAATTGGTGGTGTTGGAATGGTAGTGGACAGCGCATGTGGCCGCTCAGTACCACTGGTGATGGTAACTGTCTTCTGCATGCAGCATCACTTGGGATGTGGGGAATCCATGACAGGCAGTTGATGTTGCGGAAAATTTTATATGAAGTATTACGTACATGATATCCTTACTTACATGATATCTTCTCTTTAATTAAAACAGGATTGGAATGAAATGGAAAACATACTGATATTGTTTTTCGTATAAATAAAGTGAATAAATTTCACTCTTGTTGTTACTTACTTTTTAGAGGTAGCAGGCGACATATTCTCTGGCGTCGCTGGCGTTGGGCAGAAAGTCAATCGAATTTACAGTCGGGTCTTGTGCTAACCGATGAAGAATGGCAGCGTGAGTGGGACAATATCCTTCACATGGCTGCAGCAACTCCGAGAACTTTTACTAACTCGTAATGCTTGATTTGTTCATGCTTAACAGTCATGTATTTCAACATTTTTCACTTCGGTTTGCAACGTGTCATTTTTGCACATGACTGCATTTTAGGGAAGATGATAAAACTGGCAAAAGTGGAAATGCTGCTGAGCAAGTTTATGAAAGTTTAGAAGCTATTCATGTATTTGCTTTAGCTCATATTCTGAAGCGACCAATTATCGGTATTATTTATTTCCTGAAACAGTGATTGCTATTCTGTATTAAATTCAGTTCTATATTAAAGTAAACTTTTTAAATTTTTATACATTTTGGTGTTTTAACATTGGCATTTTTTGGTTTAGGCGTTATTTAGTGTCTTACGGAGTTTCAGTTGTATCGGATACAGTACTCCGTAATGCCGTTGGTGAAGAGCTTTCACCTATCCCATTTGGTGGAATTTATTTACCTCTCGAATGCCCATCAAACCAGTGTCATCGCTCACCACTTGTTTTGTGTTATGATTCTGCTCATTTCTCACCTCTCGTAACAATGCGTCACACAACGCCTACTACCGTTCAGTGTGATTTTTTAAATCTTCCATTCATAAAGAGAAAAAATTTAGTAATAAATTGCAACATCGGTGGCTATTATGGTATTTTTGTTTGGCTCTTTAGTTTTCTAAATACTGTATTTCTTTTCCGGGTTTTCGCTAAATATTTTTCTTGAACTAGAAAATAATTTATTGTTAACGCACGCTATTTTGCTTATGAATATGCTTAATATTTATTACATCAAAAATAAAATTTATTCTCAG